CACACCAGCCCCTGCTCAATTGTGAGCGGAGGAAGCTCTGCGCCCTCGCCACCGGTGCCAGATCCTGCCTCTGAAAAGCCCCGGGCCCTTTCTCCTCGCGCCGCCGCTCAGCCTGCGGCTTGCCAAGTGGCAGATAGTCAGGCTCTGTTCTGGGGGGTTCCGGGGCCTTTCTGAGCAGGGCAGGATCTGCAGAAGGGGGAAGCGGGAGGGGTGGGGCTTGGGGGTGAGATGACCCTGGGTGAGATTCAGGCGGCCCTGGGCAGAAATGTCCCAGGTTCTTTGGGCCACATACCATGATGGACAGAAAGACAAGCAGCTGGCCCGAGGGCCATAGTTTGCCAATTTGAGGTTTTTGGGGTTTTTTCTGTCTTTTGTTTTAATTTATCTGGATCACTGAGGGTTTGTCTGATTCCCTTGCCTGCTTAAATTTGGTGCTTAAGGCACATGCTTCACCCTAGTCCTGGCTCTGTCCATAGCTCCTAGGGCCCATGGTGTGGTCAGAAGAGCCCAGAGACACTCCTGACTTCTCCCCATGCACCAGGGTTAAGTGGTTCCCATCCTTGCCACCCGGCTTTAAGGGGAACTCTCTTTTCTGGGGCAGGATGGGTCACTGCCACTAGACAGCAACCCAAAGAAATGATGTCATTCACAGTGGGACCAGGTGAACAGGCTGCTGGGGGCTGGGGTATGCTGTTCTTAGAAAGTTAAAACTGGGAAGATCTCTAGATAACCCGGGCACAAGTCCAGAGTCACATGCCACAAGAGGTCAGAGGCTGGACAAGGACCAGCCCTCCAGGTTTGAATTCTCCCTGAGACAGGGTGTGGTGAGGAATGCTGCCCCAGGATGGCGAGCCGTGGAAGGCATCTGTGTGGATGAACATGTAGGACTCCTGCCTCTGATGGTGGTGCTGGGGAGGAAATTTCTTTAGTGATCTGGGGATTGAGAGTTTTCTGGGTAGGATGCCTTCAGAGAAGTGCAAGGGCATTTGTAGTTAGCTCGAGCCAGGATTGATGCCCTGCTTCACTGTGTACTATACATGCAGCTTAACCACTTTGAGTCTCTTCTTTCCTTTCTGAAAGCATCACTTAAGTAAGGTAACCTGAGGGGGCTGCCTGGCCCTGAACTAGCACAGGGAACGCATCCGGGAAGTCATCCTCCCTTGCTTCCATCCATGGCTACCCATTCAGTGCCATTCCTGGGACTGTCAGTCTCTCCCTCTCCTAGTCAGTTGCTTTTAGAATAGTGACTCATCCAGAGCCCATGTCCTCTCTCTTCCAGCTGGTACCTGTTTTTCTAGGTGACACTGCTCACCCACCTGTGCCCTAATAAAGCACCTCATGCTTAGAATGGGCCAGCATGGGGCTCTGTTGCTCTCTCTAACCACAGTGAACCCCACATCAGAATGTGCTGGGCCAACAAAGGGTCCCAGGGTGAACCAATAATGTAGCCTACAACTTTTGAACCCTAAAACCCTGGAGTGCCCTTGTCTGCATGCTCCCTCCAGACTGCTCTCCTGCTGACTCTCTCCATCCTGGGAGGCGGGCTCCCTGGGTGGTCTAGGGCTAGTTGCTGAAGACAAGGCTGCCCCTCTCATTGAAGGGCTCTGACAGCGGGGCTGCTGCTCCCCCTTGCCTGCTCCCACTGTCTCTGGGGATGCTGATTCGATTTGCTCCAATCGCCAGTGTTGCCATCTGCCTGCAGTAATTAAATGGTATTTGAACTGGATCCAGAAATCCCATCGCAGGCAGCCACGTGGGGAGGGTGTCCTCAGGAGCTCGTGCTTGCCCATGCAGCTCGAGGGTCCTCAGAGGCTGCTTGGGCCAGAACCTTGCTTCACCTGGGAATATCCAAATGTCCTGGGAGGAAATGCCCTGGTCTTAGGTCCCACAGGCCCAGGGCAGAGCAAAGTTTGAGGTCCTGTCTGATAGCCTGTAGCCTGTGCAGTGCCTTATCCCTCTATCTGAGTATGAGACTTTCCCTTGGCCCTCTGAGCCCCGGTCCTTATAGACAGTGTAGTGCAGGACCATCACAGGGACATGCATGCAGACAGCCTGAGCTCAAACTGGCTCCTTACTGTCTGTGACGCTGGAGGACACCATCCCAGATTCCTCATCCATAAATGGGGTTGTCATGAGTTAGTATATGTCAGTGTGCAGATGCTGCTTGGCATACAGTGAGAACTTAGTGTTTGAGCTGCCATTATTTATGTAGAGGTAGGAGTCTTGCTGACCCTGAGGTCTCTTGGGGTGGGGTTCTGGTCTGCAGGTCCAGAGAGGATGAGCAAGAACCGGGCACAGTGGTGCATGCCCATAATCCCAGCTGCTTAGGAGGCCGAGGCAGGAAAATCGCAAGTTCAAGGGCAGCCTCAGCAATTTAGCAAGGCCCTAAGCAACTTAGTGAGGCCCTGTCTCAAAATAAAAAGCAAAAGGGGTGGGGATGTGGCTCCATGGTTCATTGCCTCTGATGTCAATCCCTGATATAAAAACAAAAACAGAAGACTCAGAAACCAATTCAGGTGGGAGGCTGAGAAGCAAGTTTCTCACTTTACCTTGGCCCAGGAAAACTGGATAGGATAGCAACGTCCTTGGGCTTCCATTCCTTTCTGGGGAGAGCCACCCATCATGAGGACCTGTTCATACCTCAGAGAAAACACTTCTAAAGAAAATCCAGACACCACATGTGGAAGCAACTGGGGAAATAACTGCCCCCTCCCCAGGAATTTTCCCACCTCCCCAGTCCACTCCCTTAAAGGCAAGTGCAGGTAACAGTTTCAGGTGAGCACCTCACTGGCCTACAGTTCATTGAGGTGCTCATCTGAAACTGTTCAGTGCCAGGGGGTGCTGGGCTCAGGACAGGGACAGGAGGATAGCTTGGAGGCCCTGGGCTCTGTGGCTGGGCGCCTCTGGGCCCTGGGTGGGTGCTGGCCTGGTCCCACTCATTCTTTTCTTCTCTTGGTAAATGTTGGCTTGGGGAGAGGGAGCCTCACAAGCAGCTCATTGTGAGTGCCTGGCCAACAGGGCTGGCTTGTGTGAGCCCATGGGCACTAGAGCCTAAACCCCCCCTTTACTTTAGGGTGTTGGGGGACGCTTTCAGCCAGGCTCTTCACACGCATGCTCACTGACTCATGCATGGTTGCCATGGGGATCTCGCCATGGTGATGGCTACTTGGAAAAGGGAAGAAGGGGTAACTGATGTGATGGAGACAGTTCTGCCCATGACTAGCTCCCCACTCAGTCCTGATGCCACTTACTGTCCTCTGTATCAGGGGGCCTCCCAGCGTCTGAGAGATAGGCCTACCCTGTGGCTGGCCTGCTGTCCTTTCTAGAGGTTTCTGCCCTTTGCAGGAAAGGTTTAACTTGGTCTGAGATGCCACATTCTGCTTTGTCTGGCCCTTCAGCTCCTGCAGGGAGCCAGACCTGGTGACTGTCCACCAGGCTCTGGCATCCGGCAGGGGGGCTGTTGGTTTGGAGGACCCCTGCAGCCCCCACAGGCTTTGGCAGAGGCTCTGGCCTCCTTCAGAACTTGGCCCTGACCTGGGGGAATGTGACCCAGAACCAGGCTTGTCCCTCTGTTCCCTGTCCTGGCCCTGAGCTTTGCCTCCACAGAAGCAGAGTATTCTTGCTCGGAAGGGTGTTGATCTCCAAGGTCCCCAGTCCAGCCAGGAACTGTGTGCTTTTTTCTTTTCTTTTTTTTCCTCCCCCTCTCCCTCCTTCTGGGGAGGGGCAGAATTGGGGATTGATCCCAGGGGTGCTTTACCACTGAACTATATCCCTAGTCCTTTTTAATTTTTATTTTGAGATGGGGTCCCACTGAATTGCTGAGGATCTTGCTAATGTTGCTGAAGCTGGCCTCAAACTCACAATCCTCCTGCCTCGGCCTCCTGTGTCACTGGGATTATGGGAATGCACCACATCTGGCAAGACTATATGTGGTTCATGCCACACAGATCTGACGCTGGCCCCGTCACTTGCCATTATGTAACCTTGGACAAGTCATCTGAACTTTCTTACCCTCAATTTTCTCATCTGTAAAATCAGGCAAATAATAGATACCTCACAGGTTCATAGTGAAGAATATGTGGATTAATTTATATAAAATATGTTAAAAATAGATTTAGTATACACTGAGTGCTCAATAAATGTTAGCAACAGCTGTCTAGGGGGATGATTCTTTTATTACTGTGTCACCCAAGCTGTCCTCGGTTAGCTCCTCCCCCTGCTTCCTCTCTGCCCAGCGCTAGTGGGAAGCCTGGCAGGTAATGTGAGGAAGGAGGGCCTGAGCCAGAGCTTTTCTATCCTGGGCAGGATCCGGCCCCAGCTGTCGAAGGAGAAGATTGAGGGCTGTCACATCTGTACGTCTGTCACCCCAGGGGAACCCCAGGTCCTACTGGGGAAGGACAAGGCCTTCACCTATGACTTTGTCTTTGACCTGGACACTTGGCAAGAACAGATCTATTCAACCTGTGTGAACAAGCTTATCGAGGGCTGCTTTGAGGGCTACAATGCCACAGTGCTGGCCTATGGGCAGGTAAGCCACCTCCACCCCCAATAGTGGCCACCCGACTTTGGTGTCCCCTCATCTGAGCCCCACCTGCATGGTTTTGTCTATTGCCTGAGGATCTGGCTGAGCTGGAGGGCTGGGAACAGTGAGGGACTTCCACGCTGGTGCCTCCAGAGGGTGCTGCGTAACACTCTCCTTGTCTTTGCCAATGCAGACGGGGGCCGGGAAGACGTACACTATGGGCACTGGCTTCGACACGGTGACGTCAGAGGAGGAGCAGGGCATCATCCCAAGGGCCATAGCTCACCTCTTCGGGGGCATCGCCGAACGCAAGCGACGGGCTCAGGAGAAGGGTGTGGCTGGGCCTGAATTCAAAGTCAGCGCTCAGTTCCTGGAGGTACTGTGTTCTGGCAGGGTAGGCAGGAGGGACAGGCAGGAGGGAGACCTGGTAGACCACAAAACTGCCCAAGCTGGGTCCTCCTCCAGTGCAGTCGAGTAGCCTAGGGAGTCACAGGGGCATCTACAGCTGATGAATTTCTTGCTGCTGGAAGCCCCCAGGCAAGGACAGGAGGATCCGTGGGATGCTTTGAAGGGTTTCCTCCATCAGATGGTAAGGAGTCAGTGACCTATGAGGTCTCCTCAAACCCTGTCTGATTCTAGCTCTGACACTTTTTAGCCATGTGACCTTGTGTATGTCATTTCACGCTCTGAACTTCATCTTCAAAATGGGGGTGATGTCTATCTCCTTAGGGTTGGCGAGGATGACGTGGAAGCATGTTACTTGTGCATGGTCACAACTTTGGTTCCTGCCTTTCCTCTGGCCTTCACTGGGTCCCTCCTCCACCTTCAAGTGGCCTGCCTGTCCCTTTCTGGCTGAGATGCTTCCTGGCTCTGAGTCTTCTTGGGTCTCCTGGCAAATGGTCCCTAGAAGAGAATTCCTTGGCCTCCAGCCCTGCCTGTGAACGGGAGGGTGTCAGCCTGAAACTGTGGCATCCAGGAACTTTCTGGGGCGAAGGATGAGATCTCTAGGCTCCTTGACACTTGGGCTGTGCTCAGCCCCAGATCAGTAACCCAGGTGTAGGCAGTCCCTACTGTGAACGGGCCCTCCCAAAGGAGGTCAGATGGGGGTCAGAGAATGGCCCCTGGTGGTCCCAAAGGGTTTCTAGGAAGGCAGACAGACCTCATGATTTCCACCAAGAGCCTGACCAGGCTTCTCTGGGACATGTGATTGGGCCTCTCGGATACTCAGCATTTAAATACCCAAGCCAAGGAGCCCAACCCTGTGGTGTTTGCTGGTTTTAGAGGTACCCTGGGCTCTCATCCCAAAACCCTGGTGCTCCGATTATACCCTGCTTGTCCTCTGAGGGAAGTATGTGACCTTAGCCCTGCCCACACTTTCCCATGCTCCATCTCCTACCCGTCAGAACAGTCACTCCTTCCTGGATACACATGGCCACTGCTTTCCTGATTTCTTAGGGGGACCCTATATTTTAGGCTTGGGAGTTTTTATTTGTTTTTCTAGACCTTTGCTTCTGATGAACTGCCTGCCTCTGTGTGTGTGTGTGTGTGTGTGTGCACATGTGTGTCCTGCTGCTGGGTATCGCTGTTAGCTTTTCTTTCACATCTCTTTGTTTCCTTCCTTTCTCCATCCCGTTGCCATGGGGATCCACAAAAGGAGGCTACTTTCTATAAAATCCATGCCAAGGGGTGAACCACAAGGGGTTAAATGATGCAGTGTGTCTGTCCCGATACAGACAGACACTAGAGTGCCCCCTCTTTACCATCTCTCCTTCTGTTTCCTCTTCCCCTTCCTGTGAGATATTTCTGTCCCTTTAAGGCCCTCAGTGCCTCAGATGTCTGAGGTCTGCAGTCCCCCTCCCCCTTGCCCCACTGGATTCTCCCCCATCCCTCTCCCGCTCCCAGTCCCAGCTCCCTGCCTGTTGACCACCCCAGACTGTCAGTGGAAGTTTCCTTGCTCCTGATTCCAATCACAGAATCTCGTGGGCTACCATCTGAAATGGGTGGCCACCTCCCCACATCGGGCTCCCCAGAAGGCTGGGCCCCAGTCACCCTTTCTCCATGATCTCTTTCCCTCCTGAGCATAGGGCAAGGCACATAGCCGCCACCTCCCTCCCCTCACTGGGAGGTGGTCATTATGTCAACCGCCAGGGACCATGGGGATCAGGGAATGGTCCCTGGAGGTCTCTGAGCTCTGCCTCTTCCTTCCCTCATCTGGAATCATCCCATCCCCTCTTTTCCAGTCCAGTATTGCAATAAGATCTGCCCAAGTCATGTCAAGTTTTCCTTGTCTGCTCTCTGGGGTCCACATCCCTTTGTCCCTTTAGGTCCTTAGCTACCTACTGGGACTGAGAGCTGTTGGATACTGGTTCCTCAAAGTTGAGGGACCATGTACCACCTCAGGGTAGGTCTGCCCAGAGCCCAGCTGCCCTCCTTCCCCTGTCCAGGAGAAAGATCCTAGAATTCAGAACCCAAAAGGGACCAGGGTTAGATAAGTTAACTTCCAGAGCCTCAGTTTCCACTTCTGCAAAATAAAGGTGGTTTAGAAACAGAAGAAGCCCCCTGGGGGCCCTGCGCTCTGTGCCATGTGAACCCAGCCCTGTTCCCTCCTGGCACAGCTCTACAATGAGGAGATCCTTGACCTGTTTGATAGCACTCGTGACCCTGACGCTCGCCACCGCAGGTCCAACATCAAGATCCACGAGGATGCCAACGGTGGCATCTATACCACAGGCGTCACGTCTCGCCTCATCAACTCCCAGGAGGAGGTGAGCGTCCGCGGGAGGTACAGGGCAGGCACAGGACATCCTGAAAGGCCAGAGGCTGGTAGCACAGCCTCTTGAGGCCTCTCCTCTGCATCTGTCCCCAGCTGATCCAGTGCCTGAAGCAGGGCGCCCTGTCCCGTACCACGGCCAGCACCCAGATGAATGTACAGAGCTCGCGCTCCCACGCCATCTTCACCATCCACCTGTGCCAGATGCGTGTGTGTGCCCAGCCCGACCTGGTGAGGAGCCCTCTGGGGCCCAGGAGCTTCTGGCTGTGGGGGTGTTGAGGAAGGACAACATGAGTCGCCCTGGACCCAAGCTAGCAAACCAGAGTTGGGGCTTGCCCTGCCTGCCACTTGTCGATTTTTCTTTTTTTTTTTCTTGAGCTTCAGCGACCCCTTCTATGCAGTGGGGTAATGAGACCTATATCGAGTTGTGAGCCATGAAGGAGGATCAGGCGTGTGCACATACTGTGTTTGCTGCCTCAGGGTGGGCGAGGGCTGGCAAGTCAGAGGCTCTCTTCTGCTACAGGTGAACGAGGCGGTGACAGGGCTTCCTGAGGGCACAGCTCCTACGAACGAATACGAGACACTCACAGCCAAGTTTCACTTTGTGGACCTGGCTGGCTCCGAGAGGCTGAAGCGGACAGGGGCCACGGGTGAGCGGGCCAAGGAGGGCATCTCCATCAACTGTGGCCTGGTAGGTACATGGAGGTCCCCAGCCCCGGCAGCTAGCTCAGCTCTGGCTCAGACCCTCCTAAGGCTCTATGACTCCAAGGCTGCACAGGCTTCCTGGGGCTTCTCACCAAGTGTTGGGCAGGGCACACCTAGCTACTATTTCTAGGTCTTGGGGCCTTCACTCTCAGGCCTCACCCCTGCCCCAATGCCCAGATTTCACCAATCTATCACATCTGCCTATAAACCCATCCAGGGGTCTGTGGGCTGCTAGGGCCAGCAAGGCTGGTACAGATGGCTTGGGACTGTGTGGTGCCTGCCTCTCCCTCCCTGAGTGACTCCTGAGCACAGGGTCTGTCTCCTGCAGCTGGCCTTGGGCAATGTGATCAGCGCCCTGGGGGACCAGAGTAAGAAGGTGGTGCACGTGCCCTACAGGGACTCCAAGCTCACTCGGCTCCTCCAGGACTCTCTAGGGGGCAACAGGTATCTGATGACCCATATCCCTGTGAAGGGGTGGGGGAGGCAGGGAGGTTTTTGGAGAACACCCAGGTGAAGGCTGGATGCATAATGGCCCTGTGGAGGAAGAGGCCTTCCCACCCGAGGCTGAAGATTAGGCAGGGACCTCGAAGTGCTCCATGACCTTTGGCCAGTTATGCTCAGACTCAGTTTCCTCATCTGCACAACAGGGAGAGATATTCCTCAGGGAAGTCATTCAGCCCAAAGGAAAGAACAGACAGAAAATGCTAGAAAAATGCAGGGGCTATGGCACATCCTTATCACTAACCAGAGGACTCTGGCAATTAGGCACCACCACTTTTCCCACCTGGCCAGCTCCCTTCACTGGGTTACCCTCCGGCAGGGGAAATTCTTGGCCAGGTGGTCCAGAGACCCGCATCCCAGCTCCTGCCCTTCCAAATGCCCAGGTCCTTCAGGCATTAAAGTAGTGGGGCGTCAGGTGGGGGCAGAGCTTCCGCACCCTCACTCTCACCCTGGCCTGACTGCGCCCCCAGCCAGACCATCATGATTGCCTGCGTGAGCCCCTCAGATCGGGACTTCATGGAGACACTCAACACACTCAAATACGCCAACCGGGCCCGCAACATCAAGAACAAGGTGGTGGTGAACCAGGACAAGACGAGCCAGCAGATCAGCGCACTGAGGGCTGAGATCGCTCGCCTGCAGATGGAGTTGATGGAGTATAAGGCGGTGAGCAGGCTCCCGGGCTCTGCCCAGAACTCCTGCTGAAGCAGGTGCCCGGCTCTGCACCTGCCCTGTGGTTCCTCAGTATGCTTGCCACCTCCCCATCACCTGCCCATCCACTCCTTGTGCCTCCTGAGCATTGCTGTGTGCCAGGCATGGGACTCAGTGTTAGGAACTTACCCAGGTGACTTCAGCAGCCCGAGCCCTCTAGGTTTTAGAATGCAAAGTCCTTGCATAGATTTTCTGACCAGGGCAGACACTATCCAGGGTGTTTTTATGCGCACTGAACATGCTGTGTTGGAACAGATGAGAATGCTGTGCTTCGATAGATAAGTTGACAGTGGAGACCACAGTCACTCACTGTGCTTCAGGGGCACAGGAGAGAAAGTTGGTCTTGCTTTCTGGGTAGTCAGGGAAGGCCCCATAGAGGAGGGCTTTGATATAGATATTGGAGGACAAAGAGGAAGCAGGTAGGCATTCTAGGTAGAAGCAAAAGTGAAGAAAATGGGTGCTTTGAAAGAAGTGTGTGATTCCATATAACTACAATAACTGTGCTTGAAGTCACCAACTGGTGGCCCATGGCCTGAATATGGCACACGAATGGATTTTGGTTTGACTTGCACATGTTTTAAAAGACTGCTTAGTCATCAACCTTTCTGAAAATCAGGGAGTTTTAGCTTTTCTGGAAAAATTTCAAGTTCTAACTACATATGGCTCGAAGATCACTGGAATGCATGGTGGCTGCCTCTTTAGATCAAGTCTCTGAGTTTTAGCTCCAGTCTCCACAACTCCTTGTTACCTTACACCAGATTGAGTCCCTCGGTTATGACAACTGCTTGGCCCGGGCAGGGTTTTGTCCCCTGGAGTAGTATTTGTGGAGGTAGAAACATGAGTGGCAGAAAGGTAGGTCAAGCTAAGACAGTGGGAGGCCTTGAATGGCTGGTTCTCGAATTTGGATATTTGGGGGTTTGGGGCATTGGGAGACAGGAGCTATGTTTTAGGAAACCAGGCGTAGGGGACCCTGCAGTGCTGCCATGTCCTACAAAAGGCAGGTGACCTGGTGGAGAGAAGAGCATTGTTACCACTTCCCTGTGAGATTTGGTACCTGACTGCTCCCTGCCTGCGCCCTTTCCCAGGGCAAGCGTGTGATTGGGGAGGATGGAGCCGAGGGCTACAGTGACCTGTTCCGGGAGAATGCCATGCTGCAGAAGGAGAATGGGGCACTGCGACTGCGGGTGAAGGCCATGCAGGAAGCCATTGATGCCATCAACAGCCGTGTCACCCATCTCATGAGCCAGGAGGCCAACCTGCTTCTGGCCAAGGCTGGTAAGTCAGGGTGCACCAGGGCCAGTTGGAGCACCAAGATGCTCAACCCTCCTCTCCCCACTCCCACCCCAGGATGTTAGGCAGAGCAGGCCGGCCAGCCAGTGCACAGGTCCATCCATTCACACACTTTTTAACCAATTTTAAAACAATTCTGTACAATAAAGCAATACATGTACACATCCTTCTTAAACAGGCAAGTGTTGCATCAGTATATGAAGCTAGAGGTTAAAGTGCCCTCACCAACCCCTCTGAGATTCCACCATGTCCTTTCTGCTTCTCTGAAGGGAACTTAGTACATATTTCTGGAGCAACTTAGTACATATTTCCCCACACCTTTCTCAGTATATCTGTTTCAAGTATAAGTATGTTTAAATGTATTCATGTGTATATGAATATATACTTCTATATTGGAGATCATTTATATTATTCTTATGACTTCCCCTTTTCATTTAGCATTTTGTTTTATAAATCTCTATATTAAAACCAGCCTAATTTTTTTTTTTAAACGACTACATGGTTTTCTGTAAACCAGCCTAATTTTTTTTTTAAACGACTACATGGTTTTCTGTAGGTGATGATGAATCATTAATAACAAACAGCCCTCTTCTGACGGGCATTTAGCTGGTTTCCACTTTCTGCCTCTTACCAACAGTGCTTCCTGTCTGTGGATGTGTACAGATATTTCCTGGCTAGAGATTCCTTTATGGAGAAGGTCCACGTGCACTCCCTATTGGAAGCACAGATACAAGGTCACTGGTCTTAGAGGGGAAGGTCCTTGCTGACACTCATCTTCTTTGTTGCATGCTCCTTCTGCCTTCCGCCCTCCAGGTGACGGCAACGAGGCCATCGGTGCTCTGATCCAGAACTATATCCGGGAGATTGAGGAGCTGCGGTGAGTGAGCCCCTGAAGGTGTGAGCCGGCAGGAGGCCTTGGCCAGACCAAGATCAGGGTGATGACATCTCACCTGGCCACGCCCCCTTGCTCTTCCCATGCAGGACAAAGCTCCTGGAGAGTGAGGCCATGAATGAGTCCCTCCGCCGCAGCCTCTCAAGGGCATCGGCTCGGAGCCCCTATTCCCTGGGAGCATCCCCAGCCGGTCCGGCCTTTGGGGCCAGCCCAGCCAGCTCCATGGAGGATGCCTCTGAGGTGATCCGCAGGGCCAAGCAGGACCTGGAGCGACTGAAGAAGAAGGAGGTCAGGCAGCGGAGGAAGAGGTAAGCAAAGGGCAGCCTCTTCCCTGAGAGCCCCAAGGTGGGAAATTGCAAGTGGACCCTTCCAGAAGAATATGGACCCCGCTGTGTTCAGGGGGGACCACCATGGCCCCACACCCCGTCCCCAGGAGCTCCCCCATTATTGTGTAGGAATTCATGGAGCAAATTTGCTCTGCCTTTTGGCCAGAGACCCCGCCACCACCACCTCCAATGCTGTACTCCCCTCCACCCCACAAGGCTAATTCTGGGCAGGACCAAAATTCTGGGTTTTTAGGAGAGCAGGAAGTCAGCCCTACCCCTGTGCCTTCTGGCTGGAAGCTTCCCTTATCCCACCCTCCACCCTCCTCGCCTGCCTGCTGAAGCCAGGGCTAGTCCCCCTAATCTGGGCTCCCCTTCACTCCACAAGCAGTCCAGAGAAGGAAGCCTTCAAAAAGAGGGCGAAACTCCAACAGGAAAACAGTGAGGAGACAGACGAGAACGAGGCTGAGGAGGTGAGGACCCCCACCCCCACCCCTCCTGGTCACATGTTTACTCCTGTGTCCCTGCTGGGGTTGGGGGTCCCCATCAGCACCTTCCTATAGGGTGGAGTGGGGTGAGTGCCTTCATCGATCCTGGCACTTCCTATTAGCTCTGGCTGGTTGCCATGGTGATCTGCATCACTCAGGCCTCCTCTTCATCCCAGAGGAGGCTGGATGGAGGCTCCTCCAGGGAGGCTGTGCCCAGGCTACTGTGGGAGGGGGTAGTCTTCCCCGAGGGAGGGTGTGGCCGACCCCAGCCCTCCTCACACAGCTGAGGTATTGGATCTGGCCTGGCCTCTGCTTCTGGGCTCCCCTACCTGGAGGCCAGGCACAGCCCTAATTGTGCCTGGTGCCCAGGAGGAGGAAGAGCGAGACGAGAGTGGCTGTGAGGAGGAGGAAGGGCGTGAGGATGAAGACGAGGACTCGGGCAGCGAGGAGAGCCTGGTGGACTCAGACTCAGACCCCGAGGAGAAGGGTGCGGGGGCCCGGGCTGGGGGACACGAGACACCCGTGGCCAGTGCCCAGGGTGGGGCTTCCTGTCAGCACTGGGCCCTGAGAACATTCCGATGCCCCTGGGGTGGGATCGGGCTTGCTTGAGTTCTCTGAGATAGTCGTTGTCCAAGGCTCAGAACTCCCAGCTGTGAATTCAAGAACAAGAACCGTAATGATAATGATGCAAATACTGAGCGCTTATCATGTGCCAGCCACTGTGATTAGCTCAGCATTTCACGTGCTGGCTTCTTCCAGTCCTCACTGCTACCCCATGCATAGGTGCTATTTTCCCTGCATCACCACGGAACATGCTCAGAGAGGCCCATACTCTCCCCAGTTTGGTCCAGGCAGAGCAATGCATTGAATGTAAATCTCACTAGTGCCAAAGCCCACTGCTCTAAGTGGGGACACCTGCCCCTTTAGCTCTGTCTTGCTGCCATTTCTTGCCCATGGCTCTGCAAGGTGCATTCAATCATTTTACCCTTCTCCACCCAGGCAGGGTCCCATGTATCTATAACAGGTGGATGTTGGCCTCTGGAGCCGACAGCAGTGGGAAGGATGTCTAGACCTGCTCTCAGCTTTTGAGGCCAGGCGTGCCTTTGGGGGCTGCTCTTTAAATGTGTTACCATATTTGGCAGCACTGTGCCCACTTTGGATTTACCATTTCACCTTCCTCTGGTCATGGCTGACACGAGGAAACACCCCCTCCCTAGACTGGTGAGTGCTCCCCACCTGGCCCTTACCCTGTTGCCAGTCTGAGCCTGGCTCTGCACCGACCCTGCAGAGGTGAACTTCCAGGCGGACCTGGCCGACCTGACATGTGAGATCGAGATCAAGCAGAAGCTGATTGATGAGCTGGAGAACAGCCAGCGGCGCCTGCAGACGCTCAAGCACCAGTACGAGGAGAAGCTGATCCTGCTGCAGAACAAGATCCGAGACACCCAGCTAGAGCGGGACCGTGTGCTGCAGAACCTCAGTGAGGCCGGAACTCCCCACCCCGACAACTCCTGCTTTCCCCTGAGCCCCTCCCCTGTCAAAAGCACACCCCACAGCAGCTGGCGTCTTTGGGCCACAGTTAAAAGTTTTATGTCACACCCAAGTCCTCTGCCATGTTTTAAATTCACCTTTTTAAAACCAACATCTCACATATTAGGATCTTTTAATCCTTTTTATTTCTTCATGTACCTAGGCAGGTGAACAGGACACTTCCTGGCCTTTTCTCCGGCATTCAGTTCCTGGCACCCGTTTATAAGCCACCTTCTGACTTCTGTGTCCTTACTCTCTTCTTCTCCCAGTTCAGTTCATTATTCATGTATTCATTCCTTTGTCTTATTCAGCAAGCCTTTGCTGGATGTGTCTTGTGGAGCAGACATTATCCTAGATTCTAGAGGTGTTGGCGTGAGCAAAACCCCTGCTCTTATGAAATGCACACTCTAGCAGAGAGAGACAGACGTGAACAAAATAAGTGTGATCTCTAGAATGGCAGATGGTCATCAGGGATATTTTAAAACATACAGCAAGGAAGGAAGATGGGGGACACTTGGAACTAGGTTGGTCCTGGGAGACTACCTGAGGAAGGTGACTGAGCAGAGGCAGGAAGGAGATGAGGTAGTGCTACAGCAGAATGAGCGATGCTAAGGGCCTTGCAAACAGAGTGAAGCAAAGATGCCAAAGCCCTGAGCAGGTCATGCCCGTCGTGGGAAGGAAGCTGCCTTCTACTCTGCAGACGAAGCAGTGTCGAGTTTTGAGAGAAGCACATGATGTGAAATTTAAAAGTATTTTTAAAACTTCACTGTGGCTGTTGTGTAGGAGAACAAAAATGGAGCGTAGAAACCGTTTAGAAAATTGTTATAAAGATCCAGAAAAGACCGACAGGAGGTGGTGAGACATGGGAAAATTCTGGATATGTTTTGAAGGTCGAGCCAAAGGCTTTGTCAGTGCTTAGAGTGGGGGACGTGAGGGAGAGGGGAACCAAGGATGCCTCTGAGCTGCAGTGAGAGGTGGAAACTGGGACTTGGTTTGTACCTGTTCAGTTTGAGATGTCTGTTGGCAGTTCAGGAGGGAGCACCTAGGGAAGGGAACCCATTGAGTCCTTCTGCTCTAGCTCATGTCACTGTTTTCTCTTGCTGATTCTTCCCCTTCCCCTTAGTCCCATCTCCTTTCTCTCACAGTTATCATGGGTCAGAAGCAAGCACACATGAGTGGACTGCAGCACCCTCATGGGAAGCTAGGGATCAGGGCCTCGGGTCTCAAGATGAGATCTCACATTCCAGTAGAAAGTCAGAGCAGGAAGAGGCCTTGGGCATCCGTAGCCCCATTCCCTTGTTGCGAGACCTCATGCCCGACGTCTCTCAGTGAGACTTAGAACCCAAGCGTCCTGCCTCCCCTGTTGATGAGCCCACCTTCAGCGGGAACACACAGAGCTGAGGGCTGCCTCTTGCTGCTCTCAGGCACCATGGAGTGCTACACAGAGGAGAAGGCCAACAAGATCAAGGCGGATTATGAGAAGAGACTGCGGGAGATGAACCGAGACCTGCAGAAACTGCAGGCTGCGCAGAAGGAGCACGCCCGGCTGCTCAAGAACCAATCGCGCTATGAGAGGGAGCTGAAGAAGCTGCAGGCTGAGGTGGCCGAGATGAAGAAGGCCAAGGTAGGGCCAAGGGTATTAGGAATAGGCCTAGATGGGACGGTGCCACACCTTCAAATCTACTTTCCATGTTAAAAATAATCGATGCTGACAAGTGTGGATTCCCCCGCCCCCCCCCACACACACCCATCACTACCTGGTTTAACCCTGTCCTGGCCACGCACATTGTCCTCTTAGCTAATTGCTTCATTCTGGATGCAGCAACCTGGATGGCGCAGTGCTTGGGGGACACACCCAGGCGCCCTGCTCAGTGCTGCCCCCTTTTAGTGGGTAACAGCACTGCAGTTATTCCTGCCTGCACAGGGCACGTACAAGACTCTTATTTGGTGTAACCTTTGCCTTGAATCCCAGTGATAATTATGTTGCTGGCAGGCTTTCTGGGGCCAGGCCCTTCTCTAGTTATACATGCATGCCCTGTGTGGCCCTTAGGAGAACCTTATGAAGCTACCCTATTATTATTCCCACTCTGTGGAGAATTGAGGCTCAGAGAAGGCCATTCCAGCTACAAGGAGTCAGTGCTGGGATGCTGGGAGTCCTCAGCCTCACTAGCTGGAGTGTGTTCAGGTGGCACATACCTCCTCCCACTTTGCTGTGGCTCAGAGTCTCTGGGGCCTGGGGTCTTTCCCTGAGGTCCTGGTTTGGGGCTCAGGTCTTATGCCTCCAAGTCTGTCTGGCTCCTGCCTGGAGATGAAGGATCCATGGTCCCTTTATGTCCCCCCCTCTGAACCTTCCTGCCCTGACCCTCAGGCTCTGGTGTCCCCTCACTCTCCACAGTCCTAGGCTGGATCCCTAGTAAATCCTGGCACTACAGATGGCAGCCCCAACAGCTGGCCTGAGGAGCAGATACACAGGAAAGGGGCGTTCCCCAGTGCGTGGAACCAATAGGACAGGTGTCTACATTCTAGGAGCCACCAGTAACTGTCCTCACCACTGACTCATTAGTGCTGACCACTATGCAGAGGCAATCGGCCATGAATGCAGGGAATAGCTGGAATAGATTTTTAGAAAAGGTGGACCTCTTGTTGTCATAGATCAGCCACCTCCTCTGCACAGGCTGTGTCCCCAAGCCTAGGCCACAGGTCCAGGAGCTCCATCAGCCTGTCCAGTCCAGATTAGAGAAGGCCCTGCCTTGCTGTGCTTAGACCTTTTTGACCTGGGCTGGTCCCCAGGGACCCCACTCTCCTCTTCTACTTCTGTGTATCCACCCTGTGGACAAGAGGCAAATGACATTGAAGTGCCCACAGATTCCCCCAGACCTGGGCGCCCTCTGGTGGTGCAGAGGGAGGACCCGGTGGGTCTTTGACATCCTCAGGTGGAGGGGCACACCCCCATGGCCTGGCCTTCAGTAGCAACTCCGGAGCAGTTCTGGGTGCTTTTCTCTTCATCCCCATTCTGTGTCCCTGGGGGTTCCTGGCTCATTCCCCTTCAGGCCCAGCCTCTCCCGGCCAGCTCCCATTTCAGCTGGGCCTGATTCTCATGAGGAGGGAACATTCTCTTAGGGCTCTGAAGTCTGGAAAAATAATTGATGCCCAGGGCATGTTTGAAGAAAGATGGAAGGATCCACATACATTTATGAGTGTTTCAGTCTTGGGATTGCTGAGGCCCAGCTCTGCCCACCTGCCTGTGCTTCTATGAGCCCAGGGATAGAAGTGGAAATAATGGCCTAGAATCATCCCAAGGGCTCCCCTACAGCCCAGGGGACCAGGTTTTCTATTGGAAGGACAGAAAAAGCAGCAGCAGCAAGGATTCTGACCAGATGCCATGAAAGCCAATGGCTTAGACCCTTCCCACCACCTTCCAGCTGCAGGCCCCAGTGAGTCACAGGACTGCATAGGGTAGGACCTGCAGCTGCAGGGTCCCCTAGGAGAGGACACACTGCCATGTACTTTAGGACTTAAGAGCAAGGCTCTCCCAGGAACTGAGGCCCCTTTCAGCGCTGTTGTGAACCTGGGATGCGCTCACCCATTCTGAGACCATCACTTTCGTGTGGCCACCGTGGGGCTCCACCACACATGCGATGTGCTGGATGGACCCTCGTCCAGGAAGACATGTTTCCTCCCCAGGAGCCTCAGCTCGCAGTGTGCTAGAGTTTTCAGGCCCATTGTTAGCTGAGGCTTTGACTTGGTCTTCCCAATCTCAGTCCTTTGGAAGAACACTCATTCTAGACCCCAAAGACCCCGTAACAACAAGCCCACCTCTGCTCTATAGACACCCCTTCAGAGCCTTCCCTGCCAGGGAGAAGCCAACCCTGATAGTGCTGGCTGCCTTGGAATCTCTCTCCTTCCTTTCCTATGCCTTTTCCTGTCCTACCTGTCCTCAGACAGGACAGGTTGGTGACTTTCCTGTGATGTCAGAGGCCTCTGTGGCAGAGCCAGGACCAGCCCCCATGGTGATTCTCCTGCCACCACTACCTGGAAGCTGTGGGAAGTACTGTGCTCATTGCACTCCTGTGTTAGGGCCCCAGGAAGGGGAAGCAGATGATGCAGGGCCTCAGGACAGTGGCCTCCCAACACATTGGGTCATCTCCAGCTGTACTAATGGTGCTTCTGTGCCTTTGGCTAGACGTCGGAGAACTCTGGGTTCCAGGCACTCTATACGTGGTCCCTATCCTTATTCTGAACTGTTGTGGTGCCCTGCCTGGGCCTGTAGGAAGACCACCTGGATTCGCCACTCATCTCTCAGATGCTCATTTCCTTATTTATTGAACAGGAACGGTAATGCTGGTTCTTAGTAAATAATGGTGAATTTTATTACTGTCATTATGAGCCTGACCCTGGAATCCAGCCCCGACCTTCATAGCTCAGGCTGTCAGATGGAGAGAGGATTACCTGCCTCCAGCCAACTCGGCTGACCTAGAATGGTCAGACCCAGGATGGTGGCTTTGGGCAGGGGCAGAGTTGCACCTTGCAGATCGGGAGTCCCTGCACTGCGAGGCTGGCTGTAAGGCCCCTCCTTCTAACAGGTTGCCCGGGTAGTGCCAACCTCCATGGAGGGTTTAGGAGGCGGACCCCTCGCCCCAGACCCTTGAACACTGAGCTGGTGCTGTGTGACAGGCTGTCACCTCTATTCAATATCCTCGGAGCCAGCCACTCCCTGGAGCACGTGGGCCACCCCTTTCCAAGCCCCACCTTCACCCCTGCCTCTGCCCTGCCTGAACCAGGTGGCCCTGATGAAGCAGATGCGGGAGGAGCAGCAGCGCCGCCGGCTGGTGGAGACCAAGAGGAACCGGGAGATCGCTCAGCTCAAGAAGGAGCAGCGGCGGCAGGAGGTGAGAGACCCTGGAAGACTCCAGGAGACTTCGGCCTCAACTCCCAGCTTCCCTGTGCACCTGGCCACCCCTCCCGGTCAAGCAGGCTCCAATTCCTGCTGCCCTAAGCCGTAACCGTCATGCTTGAAGTAGAACACAGCCTGTCAGAAGGGCGGGACCACCAAGGGCCTCTAGCCTGTCCCCACATATTCCAAGGGAAGGCTTGAGCCCCAGAGAGGGTCAGGAACTTGCTCAAGGTCACCAGCAAACCAGAAACATGCAGCTTCAAACCCAGCAGAGAAGTCCAGCAAGGCTGAGCTCCCTAATCCCAGATGCCTCCCCCAGAGTGGGAGATGAGGCCAAGGGGTCTTTAGTTCAACTTCCAGCGAAGGGAACTCTACTCTGGGGACCATTTTATCAACATTTTTGCTGCATGAGATTCACCCAACGTGAGAAAAATCCAGGCTTCTGGCTGTAGATCTGGCCAGCTCATCCCCAGCCCAGTCTGGGCAGAAAGGGTCTCTGTGTCTGAGTGTGGACCCTGCCCCTCCTCTCTGACCCACAGTTTCAAATCCGGGCCTTGGAATCCCAGAAGCGGCAGCAGGAAATGGTCCTGAGGAGGAAAACCCAGGAGGTAGGTGCTCTTGGACTGGCCCAGCACAAGGTCCTGTCCTTGCTGCATGGCCCTCGTGTTGCTCTCCTTTGGGGAGAAGGAGGGGGGCTAGTCTGCCTGTGGCCCTGGGTCTCCCTGCTCCATTCAGCAAACACAATCAATCAGGCAGAATTGCCAGGCCCAGAGCAGCGCTTTCTCAATGGGAGGGCTGAGTCTAGAGGGCAGGCTGCAGGCTCTGTCCCCCAATACTTGAGCTGATCGCTTAAAAAAGAAAGAAAGGGAAAATAGTGGCAGATCTTATGTTCATTTCACATCAGGCAGCCCTCTTGGCCCTTCTGTGACCCTGGGCTAACACAGAGTGGCCCTACCCCCAAGCTGCATAGCTCTAGTTCACCCTGCTCACTGGGCCCCCCTTTCTTGCCTCCAGGTTTCTGCATTGAGGCGCCTGGCCAAGCCCATGTCGGAGCGGGTGGCAGGGCGCGCAGGGCTGAAGCCACCCATGCTGGACTCGGGAGCTGAGGTGTCGGCCAGCACCACCTCATCTGAGGCCGAGTCGGGGGCCCGCTCTGTCTCCAGCATTGTGCGCCAGTGGAACCGCAAGATCAACCACTTCCTGGGTGACCATCCTGCCAACACCGTCAATGGTACCCGCCCGGCCAGGTGAGGTGGACTGGTGGTGCCTTGGCCTGTGTGGGCCCAGAGGTGGAAATATGGGGGGTAGGACCAGAATGAGGCCAGTGCTCTAGTCCCCAGGGCTGTCAGCTCCTGATGGGGGCTCAGTGGAGCTGCGGAGGTTAAGAGGAGTCACACCCAATCCCCTCTTGCCTCTGCCTCCCAGAAAGAAGTTCCAGAAGAAGGGGGCCAGCCAGAGCTTCAGTAAGGCTGCAAGACTCAAGTGGCAGTCCTTGGAACGGAGGATCATTGATATTGTCATGCAGAGAATGACCATTGTCAACCTGGAAGCTGACATGGAGAGGCTCATCAAGGTGGGCCTGCCTCCCACCTCCTGCCCTTCCCACTCTTCACTTATCCTCCATCACCCTGACTCCTCAGACCTTTCCCAGCCCCCTCTCTCTGGGCTCCTGGTGCCTGCTCTGGAATCCAGAGGTGCTGGGGCCCTTCACGGGCTGGAGACCTGGGGTGGGAGCTGTGGGCAGGACAGGGCAGACCCCTGAGACCCTGATGGTCCTCCATCATCATCCCCTCAGAAAAGGGAGGAGCTGTTCCTCCTGCAGGAGGCGCTGCGGAGGAAACGTGAGCGGCTGCAGGCCGAGAGCCCGGAGGAGGAGAAGGGGCTGCAGGAGCTGGCCGAGGAGATTGAGGTGCTGGCAGCCAACATCGACTACATCAATGACAGCATCACCGACTGCCAGGCCACCATCATGCAGCTGGAGGAGACCAAGGTAGCTATAGGACGGGATTGGCTGGGGGAAAAGGTGGGAGAGATGGGTGGGCAGGGGCAGCCCCAGCTGATGAGCGTCTCTGTCTCCTGGTCCCAGGAGGAGCTGGACTCCACGGATACCTCGGTGGTCATCAGCTCCTGCTCCCTGGCCGAAGCCCGCCTCCTGCTGGACAACTTCCTCAAGGCGTCCATTGACAAGGTGAGCCTGTCACTGACCTGTTCAGGGGTCCCAGCCAGCACAGGCGCCACCGTGACATAACCTAGTAGTGCAGCCCACAGGCCTGACTCCTCCTCATTTGCGTCACTCACAGGCCAAGGCAAGCCTCCTGGCCTCCCAGCCTAGGATTCTGCAGCTATAAAACTGGGGTGATGACAATACCAGGCTTGTAGCCTGTTTCATGCCTTTAACAAGACAATGCCTGTATAGGGCCTGGCGTGGCACCTGGCACGCAGCAGGGCCCCAATTAAAGGTGACCCTGGGTGTCTGGCCCAGGCCCTTCCACAGCAAGGCTGGGCTTGAGTGTGTTAGAGGTAGAGGGAGAAGTGTGTGTACATTGGGGTGGAGAAGCAGGAGACAGACAGACAGACCGCATTCTGCCCAGCAGGGTTTATCCCAGAACATTAGGCATCTCTTGGGGTTTCTGGGCTCCTCTCTTCTCTTCCCTCTTGGGACTTGAATCTTGGGAACAGACACCACCTGGTGTGCATGCAGTATGACTCAGAAGAGGGCGGGAGAGTTTGCCCTCCGTGACTCCTCACCCTATCCCCAGTGACTCCTCTCAGCTCTGCTTTGTGTCTAGGGGACTGCTTGAGTGTGCTAGGGCTGCCGTAACAAAGTGCCACAAACTGGGAGGCTTAAGCAACTGTGATTTATTGTCTTCCAGTTTTGTAGGCTAGGAGGTTCAAAGTCAAAGTGAAGCCTCTTCTCTGTGATTATAGATAGCATTCTTCTCCTCCCTGTGTTTTCAGTCTTCCCTGTTTATATCTGCAATCATTGTGTGTGTGTGTGTGTGTGTGTGTGTATGTGTGTGTGTGTGTGTGTGCACGCGCACATTTTCTATTGGGGACTGAACCCAGGGGTGCTCTACCACTGAGACACATCCCCAGACTTTTTTCTTTTCATTTTTAAAATTTTTTTAGATGTTGATGGACCTTTATTTTATTCATTTATTTTTATGTGGTGCTGAGAATCGAACCCAGTGCCTCACACATGCTAGGCAAGCACTCTACCACTGAACCACAACCCCAGCCCATCCCCAGCCCTTCTTATTTTTTATTTTGATAAATTCAGGGTCTCACTGAATTGTCTAAGCTGGTCTTGAACTTGCAATCCTCCTGCCTCAGCCTACTGAGTAGCTGAGATTACAAGCATACCCCACTGCATCTAGCTCCCCTAATCTCTTTTTAAAAGGAGATCAGTCCCTTTGGATTAGGGCCCACCCATATGTTCTCATATTACCCTATTTACCTCTTTAAAGGCCTTGTCTCCAAACATATTCTGAAGTAATGAGGGGGACTTCTGCCTATGAATTTGGGGGGACACAAGTTAGCTCATAACAGGGTGTATCCTAAGGTGACCTCCACCAAGCTGTGCACATGGGTGCTAAGGGGCGGGGCATACCCCCAAAGCCAGGAAGGCTAATTCCAGGCCTTGCTTCCCGCCATCAGGGGCTGCAAGTGGCACAGAAGGAGGCCCAGATCCGGCTGCTGGAGGGACGGCTGAAGCAGACAGACATGGCAGGCTCCTCCCAGAACCACCTGCTCCTGGATGCCCTGCGTGAGAAGGCCGAGGCACACCCCGAACTGCAGGCCCTCATCTACAATGTACAGCAGGGTGCGTACAAGTGGGCTCTACCCCCGGGGAGGCCCCTACTTCCCCAGAATTCCCCCAGAAGCCCTGGTCTTATCCCTGCAGGACAGATGCAGGAGGGAGGGAGGCCATCCCTCCTTTCCCCTCCTTCCCCACCTGATGGGGTCTCTCCACCCTCCCTTCCGCCCACAGAGAATGGCTATGCCAGCACAGACGAGGAAGTCTCAGAATTCTCTGAGGGGAGGTGAGTTCCCACCTGGGAGAGAGAGCCCAGCACACCTGGGGCTCAGAGAAGGAGTTGCCCAGGGTCCCAGGGCTAAGCCTGAGTTTGGGGGCTTTTTGAGACCTACAGGTCTAAGTCCCAGAGAGCCAAGAGAATAGGATATTAGGATCCTAAACTCTCTGCTTCTTCCTCAGCTTCTCCCAGTCATTCACCATGAAAGGCTCCACCAGCCATGATGATTTCAAGTTCAAGGTGAGCCCCCCTGTAAGTCATGCAGTAGGTACATTAGGGCCAGCTTCCCATAGCCTGGACCCTATCTTACTGTGACTTTGGCTCACCCTGTCCATGCCCTAATATTGCCCCCAGCTGGAATAGAGGTGCCAAGAAGAATCTAGCCTAGAATTGGGGTATGTCTAGTCCATCCTTTTTGAGGTAGGTGGAAGGTAGAAAAAGTGACCAGAGCCACTGCTGGCTTGTTTCCATTCTGCCTAGTGACATCACCACATCCAGAGGCCCCATTTTCAAAAACTTCTCCCTTCCCCACTCAAGACCCTCACCACGGTCTGAGCCAAATCTTAACCCTAGATGTCTAGTTATTTTACCTGCAGATGGTTGATTCAACAGTGTAGGAATCAACAGTGAGAGAGTCTACCTAACATCAGGTATCAGTTGTTAGACTGAAACAAGACCCAAGACTTTTAAAGAAAAAAGGGGGGAAAAAACACAGACAAGAAGCTGTGAATTTTATGCATATTTTGGGGGTAAAGTGATAAGCTGATTTCCAGCAAGAAGTCAGTCTGGGCATTCTGTGGTTTGCATAGTTTAATAAAGAGCAACAAAACAATTTCAGTTGCCCTGGATTCTCCAGACACCTGGAGAGTTTAGCTGTGGAGCACAGAAGATGATATCTGGGTGTCTGGGTCCTTCCATCAGCTCTTCTTCCTTAGGCCAAGCCTGCACCATTTCCATGCTAAGGATTTCCCCTGGTTCCCTTTCCTGTGCCATCCTGTGTGGGCAAATTGGTCCATCTGATTCTTTCCTTTCTAGGGAGAGCCCAAGCTGTCTGCCCAAATGAAGGCTGTGTCAGCTGAGTGCCTGGGGCCCCCACTGGACATCTCCACCAAGAACATCACCAAGTCCTTGGCCTCCCTTGTTGAGATCAAAGAAGACGGGGTGGGCTTCTCCATCCGTGATCCCTACTACCGAGACAAGGTCTCACGCACTGTCAGCCTGCCCACCCGGGGCAGTACTTTGTAAGGAAGGGAGCCAGGGATGTGGGTGGGTCAGGGTGGGCAGGGAGTTGGGTCTGGGCCTGACTGGACCCTCTGTTCCAGCCCCCGGCAGTCTCGAGGCACAGAGACGTCCCCTCTGACCCGGAGGAAGTCCTATGACCGGGGTCAGCCCATCAGGTGAGAACCTCTTCTAGAATCAGCTCCAGATTCACTGCCAGTGTAGTGGTTGGGTGTGTGAATGGCTGTGGAATTCCACTCTGTAGATTATCCTATGTGCTTTCTAATCTGGGCTGGCTGGACTGAGTCATTCAGCTTCACCCATGGTCCCTTGTACCCCATCAGCTATGGGCTTGGGATGTGTCATCTCCATAAGGCACCTGGGTAGCCAAGCCAAATAGTTAAAATGTGTGCTGATGTGCACTCAACATAGGTGGCTTTGTAGTAGCTTAGATTTGTCATTGTCCTGATTTGCTTCAGCCCTGTTTCATGACTCTGGGTCCTCGGGAGCTTTGACTCTTTTTTTTTTTTTTTCCAATATTTTACCTTTATTATTTATTTAGTTTTTCTATTGTTTGTTTTGTTTTGTTGTTTGTTTGTTTGTTTTTGTATGTGGTGCTGAGAATTGAACCCAGTGCCTCATGCATGCTGGGCAAGTGCTCTACCACTGAGCCACAATCCCAGGCCTGAGCTTTGACTCTTTTTAAGACCTCCTGTTATGAGAGGAGTCTAGAAATTAAAAGAAAAACCAGACAGCCACAGAACAGCACAGTAACTTCCAGCTGCTCAGACGCACATGGGCCGGGCCCTCCAGAGCTTCTGAAATTGCAGAAGGACTGTTGGGGTCCTCTATTTGCATACTTCGTTTTCAGAGGTTTGGTGGCCTTCCCCTGGTCACATGGCTAAATAGTGGGAAAGCTGGCTCACCTTGACCTTTTGCTACCTGTTTTGGTGGGAGGCAGAAGGGGTACCTACTCAAGATCTCAGCTCTCCCTTCTCCAAAGCCTTTGCAGAAGCCCCCGTTAGGGACTTGCAAAGTGGCCTTGGTAGAGAATGGTCTGTGTACTTGAAGCTTTACAACCTGTCACTTTATCTCTGAACTGAGAGAACATTTTTAAGTGCAGTCAGGATTTAAGGCAAAGTCACGATGGCTCTCCAAAGAGCCCTGTTTCATGGCTGTGGGTCCTTGGGAAAAGGTTTAGGCAGAACCCAATGATAATTCCCCAAGAAGAAGGATCCTGGGGTATTGGAATGGGCTGTGCCATGACATCCTGGTCTCCCTTGGAGGTATGGTCAGCTGTCATCATTCATGTGGTTATTATGTCCTGTGAAGTCGCAGTGAGCACTGTGCCAGTAAGGAGCCACTGGTCCCCAGGGAGATGGAGGGTATGGTTTCTGCGAGCCTCGGCTCATGACATTTTCAGTGGCCGAGCAGCACATTACACACTTTACGTGTGTTTCTACTTCAAGACACCTTAATTAATCTACTTTGTTGACAATTAGCATTGCGCTCACAAGCACAGCACCCACAGATTTTTAAACCGTAAGGCACTTCCCAGCCTGCTTACAGCTTAGGAATACCAGACAGCACTTTGGTACAATGTTTGGGGACCATTTTAAAAAATTGAAATCATCATCATCAAAACACACAAAAATGTTCAAAAAAAATCTCATGGATCTAAATAGATGATGAACAGGACACTTGTTCCAGTGTCAGAGGTGAAACAAGCTCGCTAGGAACATGAATATTTAAGTGACAAATTTTCTCACTGCACTAAAAGTCCCAGGACAATGGATTTTACAGAGTAGTACCTAGGAGCCTAGATGTGGACTGAGCTCTGAGACAAGGTGGAAACCCAGCTCTGGGGGTGGCCTGTGGGCAGGGGTGGTCACTCACAGATGCTGCTCTCTGTCCCTGCTCACTAGGTCCACAGATGTGGGATTCACGCCTCCATCTTCCCCTCCCACCCGGCCCCGCAATGACCGCAACGTCTTCTCTCGTCTCACCAGTAATCAGAGCCAGGGGTCAGCACTGGACAAGTAAGAGCAGGGCTCAGGGGCAAGACAGGGAGGGCACAGAGGAGGAGCAGGGAGCCTGAGGGCTGGGCCTTGCTGGAGACAGGCAGGAAGAGCCGGGCAGACCCCATGCCTAAGTGTCAGGAGACCCTGACACTCCCCATCCTTTCTGTACTGACTATAGGCCCTTCCCTTCCCCAAGCATGCTGGACCTCAGGAGAGGGCAGGAAGGAAGCCACTGGGATGGGGGCTGGGGCAGTGAGGAGGCACTGGCCAGTGGGGCTGGCACACCAGAGGGCTCCCCAGAACTGCCCTTTCCATCTGCCTCAGCTGATTCTTTGCTTTTCTCTGAAGCCCCTTCCTTCAGCTTCAACCAGTACCCTAACCGACCAACCAGTACCCTAACCGACCAACCAGTACCCTAACCGACCAACCAGTACCCTAACCGACCAACCAGTACCCTAACCGACTGCAGACACGACCTTGAGTCACCTTCACATGAAGGGCTCGGCTCACCCGTCCTCACAGCTCCTGTTGTAGCACTAATTGCTCGTAGTGTAATGTGTGTTAACCGCAATCCCTGCATCCAGAAGGCGCTCAACTTGCTTTACTGCTGGCTCTCCCATCTGTGACTCATTGGAACTCTCAATCAGCCCGTTTCATGTAGGAGGAAGGGGGCCCAGTCCTAGAAAGTGACTAAATAGGGCCCAAGCTGGAACTTTTAATTCCCACCAGCCTGGTGCCCCTAACAGGGAGAGCAATATTGTCCCTGTGTTCCTCTCTAGGCTCCCTAAAAGCTTCTGGACTGCAAGGGACAATGATATCATGTCTCTCAGGGGAGCCCACGTTAGAAAATGCTTATCCTGGATCGATTGTGATGTCCACCCTGTCCCCCTCCCTGCAGAAACACTCCTTCCTGGGCCAAAATGCTGCTCCCTGAATGCTGACTCTGGGGTTCAGACACAGTACCCCGGGTGCACCTTCCTTCCCCAAACCTGCCTCAGTTTGGGCTACTGTTGTGGGAGTTGCTGGCCCTCCCCCATCAGGAGCACCCCTCCTATGTGCCATTATGGCCACCTGGACTGGCCCTGTTTTGCAAGAGCTGGGATGGGACGCTGACCCTCCTGGTGTGGTGGTCTTTTGGGGGCCTTGGTTCAATCCAGTGGTTCCAGTCTTGGGATCCGTGTGTGATATAAAGCCATCCTCTTGGCATGGTCCCACTCGGCTCCCTGGGGACAGTGGGCCTTGTAAATGTGAGTCCTGAGGAGTTGCTGGAAGAAGCTAGCTCCTAGGCAGGGGTGGAAGCAACCAATGGCTTCCTCTGGCCCTGGTGGGTACAGGATCACTGAGGTGGGACAGGTGAGGCAGTGAGGCAGCCAGAGAGCTTGGAACCAGCGAAGAGCCGGGAACCACTTCCCCAAGTGGGAAACTGGCCTCCCGTCTCCTGTGGCCCCTCTCACTCCCACCCGGCAAGCTGAGGGACTCTCTGCTGGCCCGCTCCTGGGGGAGCCTCGGCTCCCAGGCCAGCCTATCCCTGCCTCCTTCCCTGCTCTCCCTGAAGGCTCTCCTCCTCTGCCTCTCTCACCCCCTCCAAGAGAATAACCGCCCCTGACCTCCCTGCCGCTGCTGCCGCCACCTCTGCCATTCCTGTGTGTGTTTTCCTCTCTCCCCTAATCCAGCTAATTTTCTGCCCTCCCCAGGTCTGATGACAGCGACTCCTCTTTGTCGGAGGTCCTGAGGTACACACAGAAAGTCTCTTGTGTTTGGTCCCCTCTGGCTCTCTTCTCTCATTTCTGCCTCTCGCTGCACCGGCCCCTCCCGCCTGCACCCCTGTCCTCAGCATGCAGCCCCTCCTCTCCCAGAACCCTGCCTCCCCTCCGCCATGTCCCTCCTGAGACTTCTTCCTGCCCCGTGGTTCCTCTCTCTCAAGGTGGCCCCGTGGCCTCTGACTGTGCCGGGCCTGGCTGGAGCTGGGGGCTTGGGGAGGGGGTGCGGTTGCTTGTGGCCCACCCTGTTCTCTTCTCCCTCCTGGCCTGAGCAGGGAGGGGCAGAGCATGGAAGCCTGGGGTGGCTGGGGCCAGAGCTGAGCTGCTAAGGGACGGAGGGCAGGGGAAAGGCCGTGGGCGCCGCAGCTGGGCTGCTGTTCTTTTCATGGGTGTCGGTGGCTCCGGTGGCTGTGCTTAAAATCCTTGTGACTTAACTTATACCAGTAGGGGGAGCCTTTAAGACGTTGGCTGGCGGGGGACGGGTGGGGAGGCGCCAAGGAGGTCCCACATCTCTTGGTGTGCAGATGTGCAGGTGCCTCCTGCCACCTCAACCTGTGGGATGACCAGAGACTGTTTCCCCGGCAATCCAGCACAACACCCCACAACCCGGAGCGAGTCTCAGGACCTGGAGGGCCTGAGCCCCCAGCAAGTGAAGGGCTCCGATCCGCTCTCCAGCCCTGGTGTCGGCCTTTGTTAGTTTGCTTTTCCCCCAGGAACTGCTGGCCTGCACAGCCAGCCTCTCACTGTAGGGAGGACTCTCCTTTCACCAGTTTCCATTAACTGGCTAACTCGGCCCACACCAGTGTCATAAGTGGGGAGCAGGAGCATCCTGGGGAGCTATTGCACATGTGCCTGGCTGGCAGCTGGGTGTGTCCAAGCACTGGTCCTGGAGGGAGGGCGTGACCAAGTCCACAGGGTCTGTTCCAGAAGGGCTGTTGGGGTAGGACATTGATCATTTCAGTAAACCCTTGGCTACAGGGTCGATGTCAGGAGCAGCATTCTCCTTAAAAAGAACTAGAATATATTTCCAGTTATAACTCAGCCAAAAGGCCCTCACTAAGGAAATAAAAATCATCCTCAGAGCCCCCAGGAGCCTGGTATAGCCAAACCCTCACACTCACTGGCCTCTGCCTGATCACCTCTCAGGGCAAGGAGGTGCCGTTCCAGGTCCGTATAGCCTCCTTCTAGAAAGGCCACAAATATCCTAATCCCGAGCTCAACTGGGGTCCCTACAGGGATTTATCCCTTTATATGACAGACGCAGACCTGCCCATGCTGGTCCAGCAGGGGCCCCTGGGTGGGTGGGTGGGTGGGCGTGGGCAGGTGAGTCTCACTGGTTGGGAGGTGCCAGCCCCAGAGGCTAACACTAGCAAATGGAAGTTGTGTAGGGCGCCTGGGAGGATGGTGGCCTGGGTCCTCCCTCTGTGCTCCCTTCCCCTCACACTGCGTAACTGAAGCAGTGTGGAGACTGTTGGGAGCTGCAAGGGTCAATTCCAGCACTTGGGCCTTTGCCCTGCCCGCCTGGGGCCTGACTGCTCTTATGTCTCAGGGTCTGGATCAGACAGCATCAGATGGGGACTCTGAGGGCAGGGCCCATGCTTCTGCTCTTTCCAGTGGGGCCTAGCATGGGATTTGCTCCCCCAGAATTGTTCAGGCTGGCGACTGGCTGTTACTCTACCAGATGGTCCCTGCTGCCCTGTGCAGCCCTTCTCTGCTCTCGGACCTTGGTGGAGTTTGGCTGAAGATCCTGGAGTCTGTCATTAGGCCCTCATCTCCTCCCTGCCCGGACCCTACCTCCCCCATGTACCTTGATCAGCCTAGCTATAGTATCCCCGGCTGACAGGCATGTCCTTTCTCCCTCTCTCCCGGGAAGGGGCATCATCACCCCCGTTGGAGGAGCTAAGGGTGCACGGACAGCCCCGCTGCAGTGTGTGTCTGTGGCCGAGGGCCACACCAAGCCCATCCTCTGCCTGGACGCCACAGACGAGTTGCTTTTCACAGGGTCCAAAGGTAAGTGGAACTATGGCTGGCCAGATAGGGTTAGGGTCCCTCACCCACCCTTCCTTGCCAGAGTGAGCTATGAAGCAGATAAGAACACAAAGCTCCCATGAGCTGAGGCCCAGAGGTCAACTTGCTTACCACTGTGTCCCTTGCCTTGGCTCAAGGCTCCCACCCCATGCAGCTGGCCTTGCTGACTCCACCTAGCACGTCTTCCAGATCTTCCTTAGAAACTTCAGGAAGCTTCTCAGGTGTCCAGCCTACAGGCACATCTTGGTCCTCCAACACCACCACTCTCCAGACATCACCCGGCATCCGTAGCTAAGCCAGTCCTCTGACCTCAGCAGCAGAGCCCCACAGACTCATGCTTCTAAGACACAACAACACAGGAATTTGACCAGCAGAAAGTGCACATCTCTAGTAGTTGTGTGTGCGTGCATGCGTGCGTGCGTAATTAAGAAACACAGGCATGTGTACATATACAGATATGTGCATCCACAGCAGGAGGGAGGTAGCAATAAAGGGTATGATTGATTGTCTTTCAAGTTTTCCTGTATTTTTCAAGTTTTCCTTATTCAGTTAGGCAGTGTTGGCATCTGTAGGAATAGGCACCAAAGGCTTAGGTGTTTTGTTTTAGCTCAGGATACCTTGAACTAGCCCTGTTTTAAAGCTCTCGCCAACTTCTTTCCCCTGAGTTTTTCTCGAGCACATGCACATGTACATAAGCATGTGTCTGTTTTTCTTTCTGTCAGACTTAGAGTTCCTTTCTCCAGATCCCTCTGACCCTTCCCCTGACAGGCCAGTGCAGGAGAGCTGCCTGCCCCCCACCCCAAACCGCCACCCTCTTCCCATGGCTGACATCACTCCTCTCCTCCTGTCTCCTCCCCTCTCCCACAGACCGAAGCTGCAAGATGTGGAACCTGGTAACGGGGCAGGAGATCGCAGCTCTAAAGGGCCATCCCAACAATGTGGTCTCCATCAAGTACTGCAGCCACTCGGGGCTGGTGTTCTCCGTGTCCACCTCCTACATCAAGGTGTGGGACATCCGGGACTCAGCCAAGTGCATTCGGACTCTCACGTAAGTCCCTCCGTCTGCCCTCCAGTACTGGGCTGCAGCAAACCGGGCTGCTAATATTCTTTCCAGCCCAGGTGGTCCACTGAACCCAACCCAAACTGGCCATGTGGACACAAAGGCCCTTACTGCCCTTGGGCTTGGCTTGACTCTGGGGAACACGATGAGATCTCTTGGTTTGGGGGACAAACCAAGTTTCTGGGGCAGCAGATTGGTGAGCCTTTGGCCTGCCTGGATCCCACCTTTGCCCCAATCCCCAAGCCCTGTCCTTTGAGATACCATGGATAATAAACAGGAATCTGAGGAATCTGGAAACAGGGTGAGACCAGCAGATGGCAGCAGCCTTCAAAACCAGGCCAGCCACCTGTGAGGGTAGATGGCCACAGGCATGGTCCTGAGTCCTGGCCCTGACAGCCCCAAGCAGACACAGGGGAGACTGAGCCAAATGAGCACCATAAAAGTCATATTTTGTCCTTCTATGTACATTGTAAACCCCAATCTATTATTTAATTTGATCCTTAAAAAGTTAACCGAGGATTTTAGGGCAGTGGAAGTATTCTCTGTGATTCTATAGTGGGAGATAAACCCACAGAATGTACAACATTAAGAATGAGCCCCAACGTATGTGATGGACTTGGGTGATGATACGTCAATGTTGGTCCACTCTGATGTGGGCTGTTGATAACGGGAGGGGGCGGGAGGGGGCTGTGCATGTTGGGGGGAAGGAGGTGTATGGGAAATCTCCGTATGTTCCACTCCGTTTTTGCTACAAGCCTTAAACTGCTCTTTAAAAAAGAAAAAAGAAATCTTAGGAGAAAAGTTAACTGAAGGGATGTCATGGCCTCTTTTCACAGATGAGGAAGCAGTGTGTTGTGTCGGGGGGAGGTTGAGGGATTTCCACAAGGCCCAGGTTCAAACCCAGTCCCCTGCCTCCGTCTTACAGTCCTCCCAAGGCGGCTGGTGTACTTTAGTACAGAGGCTGAGCTGGGGCTGGAGTGGTGCTCTCCCCTTGGTCCCACTTCTAGGGAAATTTGTTCATCTCTGCCAGTCCTCATCAGGCTTCCTGGAAGAAGCCCGTTATCCGGGCCGGTCTCAGGGAGCTTTTATTAGTTTCCTGGCCTGCATGGATGGACTGTTTTGATCTCTAACCTGGCCTCTTTTTCCTCCTGGGCAGGTCCTCAGGCCAGGTGATCTCAGGTGACGCCTGCGCTGCCACTTCAACCCGGGCCATCACCAGTGCCCAGGGGGAGCACCAGATCAACCAGATGGCCCTCAGCCCCTCTGGCACCATGCTGTATGTGGCCGCAGGCAATGCCGTCCGAATCTGGGAGCTCAGCAGGTCAGTGAGCTGCCTGGGGAAGAAGCTTGGCATGGCCCCAGGGAGCTTGGGATGACCAGCCCTAAGGTGGGCAGGACCTCAGTTGGGTTCCCAGTCCTACAAGCTGCTGAGCTGTGCCCCCTCCTCTGAAATCCCTGGGTCCCATGGCAGCATATGTCTAGGTTCTTGGTCTTGCTTGGAGGAGGAGGAGAGAGAACTCTAGCCAGGCCTGTTTGTCTCAGGGAAGACCCCACCCTGATGCAGGGTCCCGTCTAACCCACTGCTCTTGGCTGGGCCCCTCCCCGCTGCAGGTTCCAACCCATTGGCAAGCTGACTGGCCACATTGGCCCCGTGATGTGCCTGACGGTCACCCAGACTGCCAGCCAGCATGACCTGGTGGTGACTGGCTCCAAGGACCACTACGTCAAGGTATCTGAGCTGCTCTGCTCCAAGACCTGGTTGGGGTATTCTGGGTGTTTCTACCACTTTCTTTCACCTTTGCCCCCGGTTGTCTTGGGAGTCTTCATGAAAAGTAAGGAGACTTCTGGGGATTTATGCTGAAGAAAGCACCCCAAAGAAGGCAGGAAGGTGTGCAGAAAATTTCAGCATTATTAATTCATTAAAATTAATGCATTTTTAATTAACAAAGCCGCAGCATTATTTTGTAAGTGCTGAACAATTTAGAAACAGCCCAAATGTCTAAGGACAGGTGGGAAAATCCCCTGATCAGGATGCAATATGGCTATTAAAATGATCAATAGGAAGAAGAATCACAAAGCCTACAAGCAACTAATTTGGTTTGCTCTCTGAATATGCAGTTGGAAGCTGGAAAGAAGCATATCTAAGAGAGACGGGGAAGGACTGTGGGGCATTTCTCCACAGCAGGGCCTGGGTCCTGGCCTCCCCATGCCAACCTCCTACCCCTGCCCCTCTGGGGCTCTCCCATCCCTCCCCTCCTCCCCCAGATGTTCCAGCTCGGCGAGTGTGTGACAGGTACCATTGGCCCCACTCATAACTTTGAGCCCCCGCACTACGATGGCATCGAGTGCCTGGCCATCCAGGGAGACATCCTGTTCAGCGGCTCCCGCGACAACGGCATCAAGAAGTGGGACCTGGAGCAGCAGGAGCTCATTCAGGTGTGGGTGGAGGGGAGGAGAGGGTGGCCAGGGCCAGTGCCCCAGGCAGAGCTCCCCTAGTCCGCCTGTCCCCCACCCAGTTCCATGTCTGTCCCCCCAGCCCCCTGCAGCCTCTCCTGACCCCACCTCTCACCTTGGACCCCTGCTCTCAGCAAAGGCTTTCTGGTCAGCCCTTGGGTTTGAATGTGAAGCTCAGTCTCCAGATTCCCTCTCCTGGGAGCCCTTCTGTTTGAGCCTGACCTCTCTGAGGGCACCAGGTTTCAGGGCAGATCTTAGCTTTGAACCTGGGGGCCAGGGCACAAGGACCCATATCAGGGCTCCTGAAGCCCTAGGCATAACCAGCCCTGCCCAGCGCCTAAGACTGATGAAGCCCATCTGCGGGGCAGCTGTGCAGACCAGGGGAGCCTGGTGGCAGCCCTCTGTCCCTAGCAGGAGGGGCATGTGCTCCTGGGGCCCCAGGGCAGGTCCTTCCCCGCCTCCTCACCTCCCCCAGCCCTCACCAGCCCTGATCCTCCCGCAGCAAATCCCCAATGCCCACAAGGACTGGGTGTGTGCCCTGGCCTTCGTCCCGGGCCGCCCCATGCTGCTGAGCGCCTGCCGCGCGGGCGTCATCAAAGTCTGGAACGTGGACAACTTCACGCCCATTGGTGAGATCAAGGGCCACGACAGCCCCATCAATGCCATCTGCACCAACACTAAGCACATCTTTACAGCCTCCAGGTAGGTGCTGGACAGAGAGGGCTGCCTTTGTACACGTCCCTCTCCCTGGTGTGGGAAGGACAGCTGGGAGGCTCAGGGCCACACAGCTTTCCTGAAGACTCGGCTCACAGAGCAGACCCCAGGGCACCCTCCTGTTTATCCCAGCTGGTGCCAGCCTTCACTGAGTGCCTGTGTGCCAGGCACTGCACCAGGCAGGGGTCAGAGAGCCTCTGAGCCCAGGGCCGGGACTTGCCCACCTGTCTCCATGCTCTTCCTGCCCCCACACAGCAGTGCCACCAGCAGTCTCCGCCCCATCCAGGTGGCTCTCAGACTGCAGAGCAGCCCTGCCAGCCCAGACCACAGCTCCCTCCAGCCCCAGCCCCGGTCCCCTGCGCAGGCAGCACCCAGGCCCGTGGCCCCAGGGGTACACCTCAGACGGGTTTCTTCTTTTTCCTTCTCGTTCCGACCATGTCCCTTCTCTCCCTCTCCCCTTCCTGTGTCCTCCTGCCTCTCCTTTGTGCCTCTCCAACTCTTTCCCCCAACAGTGACTGCCGGGTAAAGTTGTGGAATTACGTCCCTGGACTCACCCCCTGCCTTCCTCGCCGAGTCCTGGCCATAAAGGGCCGCGCCACCACCCTGCCCTGACCCTCCCCCCCGCCCCGGTCTCCTCTCTCGTTCTTCCCCTCTTTCCTTTTTCCCTGTCTTTTCCCCTCTTCGGTCTGAGCTGCTTCTTCACGGTATGAGATCATTTTACTCTTCTTGCTTACTGTCCCTTCCTGTCCCTTCCTGTCCTGCCTGGCCCAGAGAGATTGCTCACCTGCCCCTCTCCACCCGCCTTCCTCTTCCCAGCATGAACAGCGGGACAGAGTCCCAGGAGAGGGATGCCAGGTAGCAGAGAGCAGGGAGGGAGCGTTCAGGTGGACAAACAAAAGAGTAACAGAGAGGAAAGCCCAGGATGACAGTCCCCCAGGGCCTTTGAGACCCCAGGCACCTCCCTCGCCCAGCGCTCCTCCACCCTGTGGTCCGCCCTCCTCCGGGCAGTGTCTACCCCCCAGTCCTGGCCACACGTGGGGAGTGGGGGAATCAGCATCCAGCTGGGCCCACTCCGGGAGCTGACCAGCCCCCTCTCTGTCCTTCTCCCAGTGACCTGACGGTGAAGTTCTGGAGCATACGGCGGTTACCAGCGGCCAACCCTAGGAGTTAGGTCAGGGCATGCCTGGACCCTCAACCCCAGCAGCCTTCACTGCATGGAAGGGAAGCTGTGGCCTGACCAGACTGGCTAGCGGCACTGGGGACCGAGGGTGTGGCCCCTCTCCTGTTCCGCTTCCTCTCCCTGGGCCATAGGATACTATCACCTCCGTTCCTCCCTGACTCTTAGGAGCCTCCTGGTGACAGAAGTTGGAGAGGAAATCAAGCTGTGAAGCCAAAGGGCATTACCCCTCTTCTCTCTCCCCTGGAAGTCCCCTGGGGTTCCCTCCATCTGGCCACATGGTCTCCTGCTGAGCTAGCCCTGCTGCAGGCCATTGGTCCAGGGTGGGACCTGTAGGGGAGGGGAAGCAGCTTCTGCCCATCATGCCCCTCTGATGAGCGCCCAGCTCAGCCTCTGTACCACTTCACCTGCCTCTGAGCCCAACCAGGTAGTCCTCAGGTAACCATGGAAACCAGGTGTAGGCAGCTAGGCCTTGCAGCTGACCTTGAACCCCGTGGCCAACAACATCTAGTCCCAGTGGGCCTGAACCATTCCCTGGGGTCCCATTCTGATGGAGGCCAAGGTGGAGCTACTAGAAAGATTCCCTTGAGGAGATGGTCAGGAATACTTCATTTTTTTAATTTATTATTTTTTTTTAAATTTTTTTTTTTTGCTGTTGCCTCCTGGAAACCGACTTGAAGTTCCCTCCCACACATTCTTTCCCTCAGCTTTAGGGACTTTGCTCCCCAGCACTCCGGGGCCACCTCCTCTGTTTGCTTTGCAAAAGAGAGAAATGCCCTGTGCCACTCTTTGCAGCCCTGACCTATCCCCAGCTCTGTCCCTGGGGATGCTTCTAGTGCCCCCCTGGCCTCTGGGCCGCCTGAGCTTCAGTGCCTTCCTTCGCCCCGGGGCCTGGCCCTCGTGCTGGGCAGCCTTACGCCAACCATGCCCGCTGCGCCACATGTGTCTTCTACTCAAGGGGTCTCATGTCCACCACCCCTGGAAGGCGGGGGAGCTCACCCCACACAGCCCAGGGCTGGGGAGCCCTGCTCCCCGGACTCTCACATGGTCACATAGGAAGCAGCTTGGTGGCCCTGTCCACTAGGAAGCTGCTTGGGTGGTGAGGACTGCCCAGCACCTTGCCCCTCCCTCCCAGTCAACCCATCGTCTCACCCCTGAATAGGACAAGGGGTCTTTTCAGCTTCTGTCCTTCTGGTTATCAGGAGGCACATTCTCAAGCCTTAAAAGCGGCATGGGGCATGGGCCTCCCTAGAGATTGGAGGTCAGATGGCAGTTAGTTCACTGAGCCGCTCCCTCCCCTGGGGCGGGAGGGGGCCAAACCAGTGTTCTGGCGCCCCCTGTTGGACCCACTCTGAATTCACAGGAATGGGAGGGGCCAGCTCCGTCCCTTACTCCTGGCTTCTCCCCAAGCCTGTCCACATTGTTTTCCATTGCTTCACTGGTCTGGTGCTTCCCGGCCCCAGTCTGGAAGCCAGGATTCCCAGATCCGTTCGGAGGACATGGTGACCTATGGACTTCCCAGTTAATGGCGCGATGTTTCTGTCCTGAGCTCCTCTCCGTCTGTGGCTGGGGCTGTTGGAGTCTACTCCACGTGGGCCCTGGTGGGTAGGGTCAGGTCCCAGTGAAAGCTGAGGCCTGCCACCCTCCTTGAGCCCTCCTCAGAGCCACCCCAGAGGCTAAGGAGGCCGTCCTGCTTGTTGGCGGCCCCTGCTGGACATGGCATTGAGTCTGGGTGAGCATGCTGATCTCCTGGAACCTGGACAGTCTGTCTGCTTCGACTGGAAGTCCTTCTTACTCTTTCCATCCCTGGAGTGCTGGCTAGCTCCCTGTGCACTCAGAAGTGACCACAAGTCTCCCCCTCCCCGTCCACCCCTCCCCGCCTGAACAGAAAGCTTCGACCTTCAAACCCGTCCGCATGACCGTTTACAACTACAGAAACACGTGGAGACTTGTGCCCCCTCCCCTGCCCCCATGGGCCAGGGAGGCCCCATCGTGGGGCCACCCCTGCCCAGGTGACTGTACTGTAGCTGCAAGGCCTGTCCGAGGTGTGGTCTCACGGCCCTGCGAGAGGTGCTCATCAACATTGCCCGCTCTTCGCCATTCCTGATGGGTCACTACCTCACAGCGGGGCCGGCTCTGCTGTCCCGGCCAGTGTCATTGACTCTAAACTTGAAGTCCTTTGAGAGCCCTGAGCCAGTTGTCTCTGAGCCACCCAGACCTGTGGTGTACGAGCGTTGGAGTCACCCACTCTTTCCAGAGGTGTCCATAGTCGGGGCAAGTCCCCGGTCACTGCACAAGCATCCAGAGTTGGAAGCACAAACTGGTTGTGATTTGAGCACAATGTCAGGGTTCTCACGGGCAGTGTGCACAGTCCTGGGCCTGGGAGGCTCCTCCCAGGTTGACCTTGTCCCCTGTTATACCAAGGATGCCCGTGTCTAGAATTGGTGGGTGCCCTTGCTGAGGCTAGGTCTTGGCTTGTAATCGTCATTTTACTTCTTGTGCCCATCCTAAGGTCTGAGCCCAGGCCACATCTGTATGTTGTGGGCCCAGGGAGTAGAGCCCTCCCGTGTCCCCACACCCCAGGGCTGGCTCCCAGCCCTACCAAGCCTAAAGAACTTGGCCCCAGACTCCCTGCCTCCTGGGTTGAGCCCCTGTCCTTGCTTTTGAAGTGGATTGGCTTCCACCCAGGAGGATGGTGTCCTCCATCCCCGCTGCCTGCGGGCCCCCTCAGCACAGTCCTGTGTCAGGACCTCGTTCTCAGTATTAGCCAGTTAGTATTTGATTTTACTCTAGTGACTTGGCCCCTCTGAAGCAACCAGAATCCTCCAGGGTCGCATCTGGAGCTCCATGGGAGATTGCCAAGGAGAGAGGTGGACAAGAAGGCAGAGGCTAGCCCGGACAAGCCTGGTGGTCAGGGTACCACCAGCCACTCAGGAAGGGACAGCTGTGGCTCTGGGAGTGGCCTCCAGCCCACCCACCCTTGCCCCAGCTGCAGCCTTGGAAACTCCGCCTTGAGTGGTCCAGCCCTGTTGCCCACCTAGGGCCCTGTGGCTTTGGCAGAGGGCAGTTGAAAGCACAGACCCACCGTAAGGAAGACCCTGAATGGCTGGAATTTCCTTGTGCCCCCCCAGTGTGGTGGGGACAGAGGCAGGCTGCCTTGTGAAGTCAAGGGAGATGTCTCTCTGCCCTGCCCCCACACCCCGCCCTGGCTCTTGGTGGGGCAGTTCCTGATGGAGTCTGGGCTGGGTGCAGGCACACCCCTCTGGCTGTCTGGACCCTGCCTGTGCCTGGTATGTTTGCATGGGCAGGGCCTGCCCTGCAGGAATGGTGAATTCCTTCCCACTGTGTGGCCCAAACCTGTGGCTTCTATCCCTTTGCCATCTCAGACAAGAAACTGCTTGCTGCCTTCTTTGCTGGGTATAGCCTCCTCCTGATCAATGGCCAGTGTCCCCCACAGGCCTTCCTGAGCCTGGGCCTCCTATCCCAGCTCTCAAACCGTCACGGCCCTCTTATGTATAAGAACAAAATCTGCAGGGAAAATTCTGTTTCTTCTCTGGCACCTTTGTTCTGTCCCTTATGTCTACCTCCCTCTGTCTCCAACACCCAAATGATCCCTCAGCCCCCACCACACCTTAATTCAATCCTTTAAACCTGTGTCCCTAGGGCCTTGCCAGGAAGAGGGAAGTAAAAACTGTTTGATGAAGAGCAGAGAGTCAGAGAAGACCCCTGAAGTGAATCAGGGTCCTGCCCTGACACCAGCTCTTTCCTAGCTATCACTCCGACCCAGGCTGCAGGGTTTTGTTGGGCTCTGCGATGTGACGAGCACAAGGTGTATATATATATATGTTTTGTACCTCTGCTGAGACTGTACATAATGTATGAAAGTTATTTAAGCCTCATGCTGTACATTTCTGTTCCTAGATTATGTGTGTGTTCTAAGAAGTTGTCATAAATAAAACCCCAACGACCCTTGTCCATGGAGGCGTGGTCCCTGAGGGCTGCTGACCTTCGGCTGGTGGGCCTTCTTTTGAGAAGTTGGTGGTGGGCTGGTCTCTGACGAGAACTTCTTGGGCTGAGAGTTTGGGGCTTCCCTAAGTAGGAGGCAGAGCTTTGAGGGCATCACATACCTCTCTAGACTCCATACATTGCCTCCCAGGGCTGGGGCAGGTGCAGTTGGTGGAAGAGCAGGCACTAGCATCTATGAAGCACCTACTGTATTCTAGGCACTGTTCAGGACATTTTTTTTTTTGTGGATTTTCACTACTCCACGTGAGAGGGGATATTCTCATTTTATGAAATGAGAAGTATCCCAGAAGGAGGTGACATATCCAGGCTCGTAGCTAATTAGGACAGAATCGAGATTTGAACCAGCCCTGCCCAAGCACAGCCCCCATTTCCTTTAATGTTCTGTGTACCTTCTCTAGGGCCTGGAATTCACAGTGTGCTGTAGAGACCAGACACGTCATCACCTTGCCACTTACGGAGAGAAGACAGAAATATAAAAAGTGCATATTAGAAAACAGCTCTACAATGGTTGTTGTTTTTTATTTCTAGATCAGTACTTTCCTGATCTAGATCAGTACTTTTCTTTGATCTAGTACTTTCTAGATCAGTACTTTCCTGATCTAGATCAGTACTTTTCTTTGAAAAGCTATAGTCCTGCCCTTTTCTTTTTTTCTTTTTTTTGGTGCTGGGGATTAAACCCAGGGTCTCCGGCATCCAAAACGCATGCTTTTTACATCCCAGCCACAACTACATTCCCCTTTGATAACTGTGCACCCCTCCGTCAAGCGGGGGGATTCTGGCCCATCCTCTGGGCAAAGAGCTCCCTGAGGGGAGTCTGCATCTTCATCACCAGCAAGATCTCTAAAAGCTTTGCTTTCTGATCGCTGTACCAGGGAGACAATCGGGCCTCTCTTTGCTTACTTTCTTAAATATAAAAACAAGTTGCCTCCTCCACCTGCACGGGTCCTTGATCCTTGCTGCTTATCAAGACCCTCAGCTGGACGGGATCGAGCCAGTCGGTTCCTGGAGCCTGTGAGAGGCCGCATCATCACAGGTGGGAGGAAAGGGTTCCTTCAAGACCCTCTGGTTTTCAAATAAAGCCCCTGGAGAGTGAAAGGAGACCCTGAGCCATGGAAGGATTTTCCTAAGTCCCCAGTCCCCCAGAGGGCTACAGCTCCTGCTTTGGGAAGCAGGGTGGCTTCCTGAGGGTGGTAGTTTGGGGCTGGGTGTGTAAATGAAACCTGGAGACCAGGAGACCATGAAGATGCCGGGCCTTCCATGGTGGGTCCTCCTGACATTGAGCTCCCCTCGGGAATGGCAGCAAGTTTTTCCAAACTCAGGTCACCTTTATGTTGAGGACACCAATGTCCTTGGGTGGGGGGGAGACAGGGTTAAGGGATTCCTTTTAACAATTTTTTTAAATTGTGGGGTGCTCTTCCCCCAGGATTATAAAAATAACATCTGCTTACTTTAGATATTTTGGAAAACAAAAGAGTCAAGAAAAATTCCATTTAGGATCTAAGCTATAGGGCAGTTTTCCCTGACAAGAAAATGGCACTACTCGAAATTTAATAAGAGAAATTTATTGAACTGGGTGGCATCTTAAAAGGTCATTTCCCCCCCCCCCACTCTCTCAATTTACAGATGAAGGGAAGTTAAGGCCAGAGAGGCTGCTAGGACTGGCCAAGGTCATATGGGACAGAGATGGCCCTAGAATTCATGACCTTGTGCCCTTAGCTTAGTTTGACTAAGATGGGGGGAATTTGTGAGGGGGGTAAGGGCGGGGTCAGAACAGTCTTAGAAGTGAGTTTTATCTCAAAGCACCTGACCTGTTAATAGATTTTTAACAACATCTACCATTTATCATTGGTTGCAGCAAAGCAAGACTGCTCCTTGGGGTTCAAAGGAAGGGGTGCAGGTGTGCTTCTGAGTCTTGTGATATTTCCCATTTACTTCCTTCTATAAAGTGTTCAGTTGATAAGGACTCTAATGAAAGGTGGGGGCAGCTGATGTGGGAGCCAGAGGACAGGCCAGGGGCAGTGAGTGAGAAGAGACTCTGGCCAAAGTAGAGACCTTGTGGCCTTTAATGGCACCCTTGACATTGTTGGCCAAGGGACTCTAGCTGCTGTGGGAAAGTTCTATGGGGTGGAGAGGGTGAGCAAAGAGGGAACATGATGTATTCTAGGAGACTTGGGTGCAGGTGACAGAGGCCAGGCACTGCAAGAACATAAGCAATGCAAACCAGGCCTCTGCCCCACAGTGGGTGGCACCAACCAAGTCAGAGCATGGGGGGGACCTATTATTTTTTAGGACATGTGTTATTGTCCTATAAATTTTGCCTAGGGCCCAGTGGCTGAAAGTCAGGGGTAATAGGCAAATCTGGCTAGAGGGGGGAGAAGGGGCAGTAGATGGTCCCACATAGACCAGAGATGCTCCAGGGCCTCTGTCAGATGGGCCTGGGTAAGACTGACTCTAACGGGCAGCGAGAGAGAGCAGGTGCTCACCCTGGTATAGGGGAGGACACCTGGCTCTTTGGAGGAACAGAGGCCAACTCCTAGAATCCAGGCCAGAGCATTGTCTCTTGAGCTGTGGTTTGGGCTGTGCCAAGGTGCAGCCACAGTGCTGTTTTCCTAGGGCACCTATTCCTGAGCCACATCTTCAGTCCTTTTTATTTTATTTTATTTTATTTTATTTTATTTTTATTTTGAGACAGGTGCTTGTTAAGTTACTTAGGACCTCGCTGAGTTGCTGAGGCTGAGCTTTGAACTCACGATCCTCCTGCCTCAGCCTCCTAAGCCGTTGGGATTACAGATGAGCACCACCACATCAACTCACTTTCTTAACTAGCAAGAGTGGACTTCATTGCTTCCCATCAAGAACACTGCCCAGCACAACAGGATTCTAGATCCCTCCCAGGTCCTGACATCCAGTTCCTGGTTCAAGCTGTTTCACATGAAACTACAAGCACTGGCCTGAGATCACTCAGCTGAATGGAAACAGGACACACTGAGGCACAGCTGGGTGAGGCCAGCCTAGTCCCATATATTTATTGCAAAGAAGGCACTTAGGACAGACGGCCTTACCTCACACAGCCAAGAATGGACATCGACTTCCGCAAAACTACATGCTTTCTCCTTTTATTAGCAAAGTTCTTTGGGGACACATAATTTCTAGTGCAGGGCTCAGTAGCCTGGCCCTGCTGTCACAGTTTTAGGAACCTAGTGAGTGACACAGGCTCAAAAGACCTCCTGCGGGGCCTCCTCCTGCAGAAGCAGGAAGTGGTGGTCTTGGCCTGCAGCACCTTCTTCTGGGCTTCCAGGACGTAGAGGGTCTGTGTGGTGAGGCAGCCGACCACGGGGTCGGGGTCCTTCTGCATGTGCCTCAGGGCTGCAACACAGATACAGCTATGAGTCTTTGACCAGAGAAAGGCCACCGGGCTGGGCAAGAGGGACGGGTCCTGCTATGGGAAAGGAATAGGGTAGTGGAATGGGACTGGCATCTTCTAAGGTAGGACAGAGAGTCCACACTGCTCAGTTATAAGCAAGATCCAAACATGCCCAGAGCTTGGAGATGCTGGGCCAGCACTCATCCCCAATCCTTGTGGTCCACTCTACCTTCCCCTCCCTGTCTCTGCCCTCCACCGATAGAATAACGCTGGCCTTCCAGAGAGCTGCAGCCAGGGACTTGGCCACACTTGGGAACCACTCTGTCAGGGACACAGTGCAGAAAGGGGCGGTCACATCTCAGACAGATGGTGGAGGAGCATGGACGACAACACCAACAGTTCTGGAGGCTCCCAAGGAAAGGAGCTGGGCACACTTGGGGGCTGAGTCCCCCAAGGAGGAAGTTGGCCGTCTCTCTTAGAGAGAGTTCAAGGAACCATCCTGACTGATGAATGGGGTCCAAGCAAGATGGCAATGGGAGTGAGTGAGAGTGGGGTCTGCAGGGCCTTGACCAACACCCCCAAACCTAAATGCCCCAGAGCCAAGCCTCTTCTTCACTCAGCCTGGACGATCATTTTTGGAGAGCCATTCCTCATTCCTGAGCCTTCCCCACCAACACGGCACCTCCAACAGATGGACGCAGTGGGCGGCTGGCCAACTCACCTGTATATGCATCCTCAACTTCATCCATCTCTTCCAGGTTGAGGGTTTGGATGATCTGGCCTGCAGGGGCACACAGAGGCACCTCAGTGGTGTCCTGGCCACCAGGGCTTCCCCTGCCCCTCCTCAAACACTGCCCCCTTGGTCTGCCTTTCTCTCCTGTGGCCACCAGCCTCAGGTCTGAACATTTCCCATAAAGTCAAAATTTCTGTCCCTGATTTTCTAAAGGGTTCTGTCCAAACTGGGCCAGGTAGAGAGGCAAGCACCCCTCTGCTCCAACTCTAAGCCTCTCAGGACTTGCCCATTCAGCTAAAGGAAGGTCAGCCAACCCAACCAGGGGCTTCCTGCAGGGGAGGAGAGCAGGTGAAGGTGGTCGGTGTCATTACCAGAGTCCTGGAATAACTATGGGTCTTGTAACTACGTCCTGGGTCCCCCCTCAGTCTGCCTGATGGACCATACACCAAGGACATAGTGGCTCCAAGAAGACAGAAGGCCGTACCTGCAAACCACACAGCTGCCTGGCGGACGAAGACCTGTGGGCTCTTGAAGAGAGTCACACATTGGTTCAGAAACCAGATGGCTTTGCTCGCCTCCAGTTGCAGCTGTAAGGAGAGGTGTTCCATTACAGAGAGGCCATGGCCGGTTCTTCTGCCTCCTTGGACAGTCTTGAGACTAACCTGAGTTATTCCCTGAGTGCCAGAATCTATGAACACATTCTACACCTCCACTCCCTACCCCAGCTCCCCAAACTTATTTCCTCTGTTGCCGCAGTCCGGCTGCAGCAAATTAACCGGGGGGTGACGAGCAACTTGTGTAGACTGATACAGCAGGAGTAGGAGCCATTTATTGTAGGACCGGGGGGGGGTATTTATCCATTCCATACAGCTTATTTTAATTAACATAAATTAGATACAGCAGTCAACCAATAAGAAATCTCCACACTTAATGGCTCCCTGGTGCCACCTCACAAACCACTCCCCCTGGCAAAATGCCAGGCGCCATCCTGACTTGTTTACAGACTCTAACACTCTGTGAAGCCTTTCTGGATGAACCAAGCCACAGGGGTCACTTTCCCTGACCTTGACCCAATAGGAGCCTAAAATTCATATAGATTTACCCCAATCTTTGGCTCACCCACATTTCTCCTATTCCCAACACTGGAACAGTGAACCTCATTTTGAAATATTGTCTATTTATAGCTTGACTTAAAATTTTTAATCTCATGCCACATTCTCTAGGCTGCAAAAACGGGAGTGTAGACATCAATCATGTCTATACCCTTCTATTAGAAGGAGGGCTGCATATAATTAAGTGTTCTTATAACTTCCTCCTCTGCCTTGGGATACCCCGTTTTCTGTGTCTACTCACACTTCCTCCCATGAAGGTCTTAGGATGATGTGTCCTTTCCTTTACACAATGACCATTAGCCTTAACCCCTCTCCATGTCCCCTTCTAGCTTCTTCTTTCCTACCCTCTTTTTTCATTTTGCAGTATAGTTTTTTAGTTTTTGTTTTTCCTTTGTTTTATTTTGGTACCAGAGATTGAACTCAAGGGCACTTAACCACTGAGCCAAACCCCATCCCTTTTTTGTATTTCATTTAGAGACAGGGTCTCACTGAGTTGCTTAAGGGCCTCCCTGAGTTGCTGAGGCTGGCTTTGAACTCACAATCCTCCTGCCTCAGCCTCCAGAGCTGCTGGGATTACAGGCCTGCACCACCACACCCGGCTGCAGTCAAAAAGAAGGTGAAACCCATGGTTTTTCCCAACATTTTAAAAAAGTTTTTTAGTTACAGATGAAAACAATACATTTACTTTATTTATTTATTTTTATGTGGTGCTGAGGATGGAACCCAGTGCCTCACACATGAGCTACAACCCAGTCCCTTTTTCCAACTTTTTGGTAGCAGGATCTTTTCCTCAAATAAAAAATCCTAACTGGAAATGTCCCCTGCATCAGAAGGGGTGCTGCTCTGGTTGGAGGGTGTGAGGCTGAGCCTGTCCTCCTGCTCACCTCTGCCACGGTTGAAGTTACCCAGGAAATCTGTCATTTTGCACCACAGTCCCCTCTTCCTACATCTCCAACCCTGACTAGGCAAGGGTCACCATTAGCTCCCATGGTCCAAACCCAGCCTGCACTCTGGTCTGGATGCTCCCAAACTCATGCTGCCGTCCTACTGCAGGCCACCTATTGCTGCCTGGAACTTTCCTACGTGACAGGATCCCTTTCTTCTTATTCTCCTTTGACTTTTCACTTGACTTTCTTTCCTAATGTCCTTCAAAGGATGCTTGAACTGGTGTTTCCTGGGATCCCGGGCTGACTTACAAGCTTCCTGACCCACTGGCCACCTCCCTAGCTGAGCAGATCTGGGTCGGTGATTAAAACTTCCATCAACCGTTGGGAGGTGTGTTCAGTGTTCACAAATCCCATCTCTAGCACATGCCCCAGGATTCAGTGATATATTCCTGACTTCCAGTGCTCTAGATCCACCCACAGACTTTACAAACTTGACAGGCACAAAATCAGTCCACCATCTTCCTCTCACCCTTGACCTTGCCCTGTATTCCTGACCTTGCTCCATGGCACCAGTGTCCACTCAGGTCAGAAACCCAAGTGGCCTCCACCTTCACGCTCCACAGTCAATCAGTCTCCACAACCAGCTAATCCTATCCATGGCTTCATCTCTCCCTGAGGCCCCTAATTCTGTCCCTTGGAACCTTTCCTCTGATTCCACAGCCTGGGCCGGGGGACTTATCTAAAGTGCACAGCTCTCTAACCATGCCACTGCCTTGTTGAACACTTCAGTGGCTCCTGCTGCCCATAGCACCACATCTTGCTCCTTGTGGCACCAAACTTTCATGGCATGATGTGGCCCGGTCTCCCACTCCTGGGCTCTCCTTCCCAGACTGCTGACTGCCACCCAGGACCCAAGACCAGCCTGCAGACCTTCTCATTTAGTCCACATAATGTTTTACATTGTAAATTATTTGCTAACATAAATATGGGAAATGTCACCTAGAGTCAGGATTTCCTGCTCTCAACATTTGGAAGGTCTGGCCACCCTGAGCCCACTTTCTCTTAGGGAAAAACCTGTGCTCAGCTGGAGACTATATTGATTGATACATGAATTTGTATCAATCAAAAACCTATTTAGACTCTGTACCCAGACCTTGGCCTGGTCTTTCATATATTACAGAGTACTTTTATACAGTTCAAGCATACACTGGGTTTTCTAGGAATGTATCTATAAGACAAATCCAAAACTAAACTTTCAGGGAGAGATGAAAGTGTCAGTATGTTAGCAAAACTTATTCATCACTTTGGAAATCAAATCACCAACAACAAAGCTTCCTTTGATGTTTGATCTGACTCTGCATCAGGAGCAGATCTGTTCACAGTGATTCTGTGCAAAAGGGGAAAGAGGCCTTCATTATGTCGTCAAGGGTAAATGGAACCAAGCATTCACATACGTTATATTATGTCCTTTATATTACATGTGTTTATGCATGCTGGGTTTTTTTAAATAAATTACTTTCACTTGTCCTTTGGAATTAGGGCATTCTGCTTATTTGGGAAATGTTAAGCATGGGTAGATGCTAAGATTCATGAATTTCACTTGGAGGAGTAAAGAGGGTGTTACCAAATATGCGATCTATCCAGTTGTGCTGCATCTGACCATGCACAAAGGCTACGGGACAGGTCTTAGTCTTCAGTCTACACAGTCTGCTTCTCTGGCTAATGTTTCCTGCATGGCCCTGCAGCCATTTGTTCTGCCCCCTACTTGAATGTTTCCAAGCCACTTAGAATTCTCCACACAACAGGCCTTATTTCTCAGGGCAGTTGGAGGATCCAGTTCTGTAAGGTAATATGTGGAAAGTCCCCGACAAAGTGAATCCTCAGCTCCACATCCCTGTGTACAGTGTCCCCTTGGCCTGCACTTACTCCTGATCTCTTCTCTTTGCCTAAGTGTCACCCTGCCTTCCATGTCTCCCTCTAAAGATGACATCTCCTCCAGGAAGGTTTCCTTCGACTCCCAGACTGAGCCGAGGGCCCTCCATTATACTAGAAAGAATAACCCTCTCTTACCAAAATTTTGTGAAATTATCCACATGTGTGCCTGACTCTCCAATTTAGATGGCAAGCAAGGAGGACAGGAGGCAAAGGAAGATCTCAGAAGCAAAGGGCAGGGGAAACAGAGGGACTGGTACCATCTAAGTGCCCCACACAAAGCAAATGCTCGGTGACCGGCTTAGCATTGAACTGCTGCTGTGGCCACCACAGCAAACCCCTAGCTGCAGGAGAAAGGACTGGAGTGCTGGGCATACCACCTTCCCTTGCACGGGGGCAGAACGGTGAGTCGGCAGCTGGCTTACCAGGATCCTGAGAATGGCAAACACATCTCTCTGGGTGAAGACTGTTTTCAACTTTGTCCAGCCCAGTAAGGTGGCTGTGTGGCAGAGGGAGAGCTGGCAGATCTGGGGAGACAAGAGGCTCGGCATAAGGGGTTATGCAAGTGGGGCTGGGCAGCCATGAAGGGGCACCCAGAAGGGAGACAGAGAACAGCCTGTCCAACTCCAGTGGGATGGAAACTCAGGGAACAGATAGGGATCCAGGATTAGGAGCAAGACAGGAGTCATCTAGGCATCTGGCTGTATTGAAAACCCCTGTTACCCATGAAGGAGAACTTGCAAATCACACACACACACACACACACACACACACA